CAGATCAAAGGACCTGGCTCTCACGTGAGGCGCAAATCAGACTGAGAACCGAGGAAGGGGCTGGCCCTGGGAGGCCACATGGGACCGGAGGCTTTTTCAGTGACCCTTTTCACTTCTCCTTCAGGCTAAAAACAAAGTCGGACCACGACATGGGCACTGAAATATGTCCATGGTTCAAACATCGCTCATGTGGGGTCAAAGCAACACTTAACATCACCTACCATCAGCTAGTACCGCCGGGTCAAGTGCACCATTGTTCACCCGGTTGACTCTTCTTCGACATGTCTTCACTGTTGAACATGGTTCAATTCATGGTTCACCCCATCGCCAACATGGACATGGGCTGCTGTCTGCTTCAAGCCCCTGACATGAGCAGTGGAGAGGTGACAAGAACACCTGGAAAAAAACACATCATCCCCATAATTAGACCCCCCGATCTCTCCATCAATCCGCCCTGATTTTCCCTGAAGAACTCTGCCCCTTCATCCACTCCCAGAACAGCGGAAAAGAAGGTCCTTTCTAAGGACGAGAACAAACCGACTCGACTCCACATGCCAGCTGGACGTAAAGGGCCATGAAGTGTGTTCAAAGAAGTCATGGTCGTCCATCCTACGAGCGCAGGCAGCAAAGGCACGGGTATGTGCACAGGTCAAACAACCTATTTACAGTATAAAACTGTATCTTATAAGGTCAATGCAAGCAGGAAACGTTTAGATTTGCATCACTTCGCGACGAATTCATGATCATTCATTCATCTGTTGGCAGATTTTGCTATGTCATCTACCAAACAACTTCTTCAGCTTCTGTATGTCCTTCGTAGGAATTGGAACTCCCTCCGAACCGAAAAGGCCTCAACATGGCAACGGCGGTGGTCAAGAAGTACTCGGCTTCGATGAACTCCTGGGGTGTTTGGACGCGTCGGCCACAAACAACGCATCAAAACAACCGCGACCCAATAAGCCGGTGGTGTGAAGAGGCGGTCGGAGCTGGTGATGGCCACGGGTTTATCTTGTTTTCGATGATGTAACAGATCGCCAGCCGGGGCCACCCAGGAAACTGGGTTCGTTCGACCCACAAGCCATGCCCGGGCATGGCAAAAAATCATTATGCTTATCATGGCAGCAACAAACTTCACCGGGATTCTCTGTCAATGTTCTTCTTTTTGAAGATATTTTGCTGTTCAAATGGGTTAACTCACTGAAGAAGCTGAGAAACGCTGGGGCTTTGGGCTTTGTTGTCCTTGTTGTCACTCGTTGCTGGAGTCGTTGCTCTCGGATGGACTGGGAACATGCTGGACTCGACCGACGAAAACCCCCACCGGCTTTGGCGGCTTGATGCCCACCACGGTGTCCAAGGATGGTCCAACGACGCCCCACGTGGGATGCCGAGATGCCCATCCCGAGGCTTCCTGGATCTCCCTGGATCTCAGGATCTCCATCTGTTGCCGAAAGCATTCGACCTGGCCTTGTTTTTTTGCTCTACAGAGAAAACCACCCGGTTCTCCTCCAAGACCACCCTGATCTTCCACCTGCCCTTAGTTTATTCTTCAGGGCACCCTTCGACTGCTGGCCGCCCAGGCCAGCACGTACAGAGCGGTGGCATGGCCCAGAATGCCTGCGGCGTTGCAGAAGTGACCCCATAAAACCAGGTGGCTGCTCTTACAGACTAATCAAACGAAGGCTTGTGACTTGGGGGAAGGCGAACCAAACAATTGATACACATTCCGTTCTTTTTAGCCTACGAATGCGGAAGAACTTGAGGGAACCCCCTTGTGCATCCGCACCCCTGGTCACGGCACACTCTGTCAAGCAAACTCAGTCAACAAACTCAGTCAGCGAGCCCGTCGACGGGGATAGATGGATTTGTCAACACAGCCAGTTGGCTGAAAAAACATCACCGACATCAACTCAAGATACTACATCACTGTGACAGATCGGACAGTGATGTAGCCGTTAAAAGCCGGGGCACAATAATGTTCAAAAGGCCACAAGTTGTGTTCGGCTGTCTCGCGATCTCCCCAGAAGTGATCATAAAGTTCATGAGCATTCCTTGCTCACAATCCGCTGTACGATGCTGGAGATATGGAGAGTTGTTGAACTGACCACTAGTATCGGGAATATTCCGAGTACTAGGAGGTGTAAAAGTGTGGGCTTTAGATGGCTTTAGCAGCAGGCTGGTGAGCAAGATTCCTTGAATGGCGTGTTGCCTGCTGCCTGCTACTGGTGAAATGGTCCTTGATCAGAGTCAGAATCTATAAATCCGTACTCTGAAAATGAGCCTTAGGGATCCCTAAAGTTTCAAAAGCTTGCTGTCACAAGGCGGTCTGCATTGAAGAAACATATTGCATTATCCGCGGGCATTAGGCATGAGAACCAGAACATATCGTATCCCGAACTCCATCCTCTCTGCCACCAAACTATTCAATTTGAAGGACTCTCAAGTCTCAAGTAATGATATATATATATTATATATATCTATTTATAAAAAAATATATATTATCATATATTCACCGTAGTATGGACAGGTTGCAAATTGCATTCTGGTGGTCTTGGACATGACCGACACACACAAACACACCCATCTGAACTGGCAGTCCGGAGTCTGGCATCTCGATCTTTTGAGGGTCTGAGTTCCGTTTTAAAACGCCGCGACCAACGCCGCGATGCCTCCGCGGGCCCACATCCCCCCGACCCCGTTGGAGGCGCTGGACCCCCGATGTTTGGAGTGAGACGTTGCACACAGACGTCGACGTGACGCACCGTGACGTCCTTGTTGTCCTCCAAGACACACTCGATGCGTGTCGATGAGACTATAAGACAAAGCTTCCAGCCCTTCGGGAGGCTCCTGGACATGCTGTGCCATTTCTGGTCGCCTGAATGCTAGGCTCCATCATGGCTACGGGGCCCTCCATGACTCTCTAGGGGCCTGGATCAGAATAGTGGCTGTTGGTTTGGGTTCAAAGAAGGCAAAGATTCAAACATATCACACCCGAGAAAAGCACCTTTCAGCGGATCTTCGGCCTCTTTGGTCTCAAGGTGTTTGCCGGTCAACGGGATTCAACCGGCCGTTGGTTGGAGTCAGTCCAACGCGCATGAAACACATGAAACACATGGAAACGCAAGTGCTGTGATCTTATTTCCGAAAAAGCCGCAAATGTTTTGATACACACATCCATCTTTCAAGTGAGTACTGCATGCACAACCAAGTGAACCAAACAACACTGCGTTGACGCGACCGGCCTACAGTCGCTGTTCACAGTGGATCTATCGAGGTGATTCGAGGTGGATGTATTGAAGACTTCAGCCATGTGGTGTCTCAAGTTTACAGGATGCCGTTCAGTCGCTATAGCTGATTTAGACTAGAAGCTCCCTCTTTGATGTGCGGTATCTTAATGTATCCTTTACAGTATGATACAGCATATATGAATCAATGCCCTTCCGAACCTCTTCACCTAACCTTTTCTGTCGAACCTCTTAACCTATCTCCAGGTGACTCCACTTTTTCACCCTTTTCGAGCCCAAAAACGGACTCGCACTTTGAGGATTCTTGGGTATGTGCTACCTCCTAATCCCTCCGGAGACTTGATATACATAAACCCTAAGTAGAAAAGCCACTGGACCCACAGGGGGATTCCCCCCAAGTTTGATGCATGACCAGTCCTGCAAGCGCCCTGTGCGCCACAGCTCCGCCACCTCCTGTGCTTGAGTGCCTGGGGGGGGCGATCGGGCGACGAGGAGCTGCGCTCCGAGCGGAGCGCTGGTGGCGAAGCAACCAATTCGGAGGCTCCAAAGACCAAACTGGAAGGTCATACCCTCCATCCAACAAACATGGAAGTGGAACATGGCCCCTTGAACAGGCTGTATTCCACTTCCATGATCGTTTCAGGGAGGGTACAAGATCAAACTCTTAAGCATTCTTGCTCCGTTCGTAGCCCATGCCCTGAAGTTATGTTCGTAACTGCTTGTTCCTATTAGCAATGCCAGCTACTAGTAACTAGTAACCCTAACACATGACAAGTTACGACGAGAGCCAGATTGTTGTTATGTGCACCTTGATCTTTTATGTGATGTGTTTGGACTACAAATCCAGCATTTTTCATCCCTCTCATCCATCAAATTTCTTGTCCGGTTTCAGGAATGGATCCAAAATGATCCAAGTGACGCAAGGGACTCCAGGCCCTCAAAGCTTCTGAAGTGCATTCCAAATCATCGAGGCCCAACTCCATGGCTCGTCATTCCGATCCGTGCGAGGCTGCGCATCCTGAGTCTGGTGACTGGTGAACATTGTGCTCTTGAGCTCCTGGCAGAGGTTACCAGAACCCTATGAAAGCACACCAGTCCGTGGTCGCACAAAAATGGGCCTGACAATACAACCCTCCAATGAAACTTTGTAATTTAAGCGTCCCAAACCGACACCGTTAACGCTTTCACGGCCCTTGGTCTCTCAAAAACCGGATTTGATGGGGTAGAAAAATCAACCCGTTCACCCTCGCAAGGATTCGAATCCGCTGTGATCCGTGTCATACTCCCCTTCACAATCCCATGGAGCCGAAGGTGGCGAAAAGGCGCCGTTATCTTCTTTCTAGATGTCACCCATGGCCACATCCCAGGAGGAGCAGGTTGCAAAAGCCCGACTTCTGGAACCATATGCTCTGTATATCACTACGTCCTCTTTATGTGTATTTCTTTGCACTTGGCAAACGCACCTCCATGTCAAATGACTTCTGACCTCCATGTTCCTTCACCTGGATCTTTTCGGTGTCAAGAAGACACAAAGAGATCGGCTAAAAGGATGTTCACTCAATTACAGTGGTTTCAGAGGCTCGATGGCACTGACACCCAAAAATGTCCTTTATATGGGCGTTCGAATAAACCACCGACATCCACCGACTGTCAAAAATGGTGCCCATCTACTCTGAAACCACTGTACATATTGTTCACCTGTCTGTCACCGAAACGACCCAAATCAAACACCCTGATACATCGCGCTGTGATCCCGGCAACCCCTGAAAAGCTTCTTCTCTTCGCGTCCGCCTGAGCAACGGGCACGGCGCACTTAAAGGCATGCAGCATGTCTGAACCAAAATGCAACAACGGCACCTCATCACTGTGAGCTGCTTTTTTTGACAGGGACACATTTGAAGAACTGCCCACTGCCAACTCACCTTGTTGCAGTTCTTCAAGAACCCCCGTCTTCCCACTTTCCGTGAAGTTCAACGTGCACCAATAGCTGATCAGCAACACTAGCTGTACCGGTCATGGACTTCTCGGATCCCTGTGGGGATCCCTGTGGGATCCCACGGGTTTGCCGTGGGCAACCAACAACTGACTGCAAGCCAACCAAAGGATTTCTCAGCTTTGCTGGCTTTTCCATTTAGACCCCCAAACAGATAGAACATGATAAAACAGTAGATCCCCACTATAGACATGTATTGGACTATTTACTATCTTTTCAGGGGACCACTAAATGGCTTTTACATGGCCTTCTTGTAAATGCCGAGCGTGATTGGTTGCACCAATCCACGCTCCCGGGCCTCGGAGGTCTTCCGGAGGTAGGAGCTGACCCTGCAAACTCCGAGCTGCGGATGAACTACAGGGAGAGCATCCTGAGGGTCCTGAAATAGCTTCAGAAGTAGAAATTTCCCCTGAGAACTTCGTGCGTGATAGTGCTTGAGAATTTATGTGTTTCACGCAAAAAACAAAAAAACGCTGACTTGTCACTGGATCACTGGTGACTTAAGCTTATGAGGCTGTGAGACGCTACGAGGAATTAGGTGTTGTCTAATTTTTTGAGGAGACCCTCCAACCCATGGGTTTGGTCTGATGCGTCCTTTGTTCCTGTGAAACTTCGGGGTCGGTCTCCACTGGGGGTTTCTCAGTTCCGAAAGGCCTGGAGCCTCAGAAGCTGTTTCACACTGGACGTCCTGACATTGCTTGGGCCCCTGTTCTTGTCGTTCCAGGTCACCACCCGATATTACCACTTGGAAAGAACGGACATTAAGAGCAGGGCTACTGGAGAATGAACAAGTCTTTACGTCGAGACGTAAGGAGTGACATGGAGTGACACTGCTCCCACCTGCCATGCAGTGGAGAGCGTGTTGAGACCAGGTCCTCAACGGAGAAGGGGGGGGCCTTGTGGTGTGGCTCTGGTGGGAGTTGCAAAACTATAGCACATGGGACTAGTGGGCTGATCAATCAAAAATACATAGCTTACATAGCAGTTCAGGTTGGATCTTTTCAATGGACATGAAATGATAAAAACCGAAAACCGATCGATCACAAAGGAACAAATGGGGTACCCTGACTGGCCAGTATGCGCACCTTCTGAAAAGCCTCCAACCCGCGAACTTCCGAAGCAGGATCAAAGATACCTGGAACTTCCTCAGTGTGTTTTTTCATGTTATCTGCGGCGTGAAAACCATCTGTCATTGCCTTATATTTGAGTCTGCGGATGTCTCTCTAGCTTTCGGATTGTTCACGGGCGTTTATACACAGTGCTACGGGCGTTTGGTCAGCCACGGGCCTTTCCACCCTAACGCAGCGGATGTTTAGGAAGCGCTTGCAGATCTTTGTGTTCACAGACCGGTCGAGCAGGGTAAGTTGAACGACATTGAACGACCCCAAAGAAGCAACTGAGCTCGGTTGGTCTCCGGACTTCCGCGAAAGAAAGATGCAACTAAATCGATGACACTCAGTTCAAACTCGACAACGAACCCTTTGTCTGCGAAACAAAACAACACAAATCCATACAAATCCGAAGAACGTGTGCGTTTTGGGCAGGTCGATGCTTGGCTGCCAAGCACAATTGTATACCCCCATTGGTTCGGTCATGTACCGAATAATTGTTTTTCATGTGCAGCCCATGCTGACCAAACATGACCAAAGAACCCAGACACTCCATCTATGCCATATATGCCTACATTGGGGTGGTTTGGGGGGTCAATGTAAGCATATATGGCAGTCCCATGGAGTGGCGAATACCAAAGAAGAATCTGTGCCTGGCATCTACGATCCGCATCCCCTCATCAACGTTTATGCTATGCAGCATGGGAACAGGATTCTTGGCCTATTCTTGGGGGTTCGGAACGCCCACACGTCCATGGTCTCAACCTAAACCCATAAGGTTTTACGCACCCAAACACTCCATGGTCCGTGGTTGATGGACTGACAACAGTGACTGACATACTTGCTTAATCAGGGTGGTCATTTCTCAAACAAATGGGTCAGGGCCGATGTTTGAAAAGTCCTGATGACCATTGATGACCCCATGGACTGACGATGGCCGCAAAACCAGTCGAGCACGCAAAGACCGTGTTGTGCAAGAAAAAAAACATAAATTACGTCTTATATACAGTACTTCCAAAATCTTCCTAAAAATCATCGCTTGGGGTCTGGCACCAGAGAATACGGCAAACAGAACCCTGTGATGCAATGCTTCCAAAGCCGTCCTTATGTGATGATGAGCTCCGCTTCTTTTCTGGAGCATCTTTGGCTCCTTTTCCTGCATGCTTCGCTTCCAAATCTCTGGTGTCCCTCTCTTTGGCTTGTCGCTCTTCACGTTCTCTGGCTTCACGTTCCCTAGCCTCTTGTTCGGCTTTTTCGGCCTCTTCACGTTCTCTGACCTCTCTTTCTTTGGCTTTTCGCTTGGCTTCAAGCTCTTTCGCCTCGCGTTCTGCACGCCGCTCAGCTTCTTCACGTTCTCGAGCCTCCTTTTCCTTGGCTTCTCGGTCGGCAGCTTCACGTGCATGCCTTTCCGCTTCTTCTTCACGCTTTTTCCTCTCCACTCTGGCTTCATCTTCAGTGGCTTTGCGAGCTCCAGTCTCCTTCTCATCTTTGTTTTTTGCTTCCCCATGCGCCGGCACCTGGCTCTTCTTCGAGATGTTCAAGGTACACAAAACTCGTTTTTAAGTGCCTCATCTAAAAGGGGAGGCATGCCCCTCCCCGTCCGCATTTAACCACCAAGACTGAATTGAACCCGAACCCCATCCAAATCACATCTGCAAGCTCACAGGGAGTGACCCTGCCGCTGTGCTGTGTTCTGCTAGCTAGTTGTGGCCAGATTAGGACCCTACAATATCTACCAATTGGAAGAGCTGGAAAAAAATTGCATAAATTTGCATGGTCACTTAGTGAGTTAGTGAAGTTAGGTGAGTTTCCGGCCATATCATGGAGTGTTCGCTCATCTCTTCCAGACCCATTGAGCACCTCATCCACCAAGGGGTCTTCTTCCTGCCAGAAGAGGAGGGCAAACGTCTCACATCACTTCACATTGAAGTGACTTATTGATACAAAACATATGGGATTTTATGGGTATCCTTCTTTCACACTTCAAGACATGACGCAGAAATGACTTCTTTTAGACCTATCTGGCAGTAAGTCTGCATGGTTTGAGGATGTTTGAGGTCTCGAGCCGCTCGATGAATGGACACGACTTTGCGGCGGCGTCTCTCCTGTTCCTCCTCTTCCACATCCTCTTCTTCCCCTTCTCCTTCCTCCTCTCCAGCTGCCTCACAGCAAAAAGAACCCAATCAATAGGGTCGTCTCACAGAATCTTTGTAGTCATGCAATATCTTAACATATTGCAGGAGTTCCATAAACTCAGTACTGTATAATGTATATAACTAATGCAGGATCCTTCATGGTATGGATTCTAAGCTAATGTTTGGCCGAGGCTTCGCTAGGGTGTGAGGGTGTGCAGCATTACTATAATGCGTCGAAGTCACTCAAAGGACCATTGCCTGCTTAATCCTCGAACCCCATTGGCCAAGGAGTGCACTACATACGTCATCCCCGAAAAAAACAACAAACACAATGGTTTTGTGATGTTTTGTGATACATGGAAACTCCGAAAAATGATGAACACTGACTGTTTTTGGAGTTGGCGGTGGGATCGCAGGACCTCGCGACAGCGGTCTTGCAAAGTCTCTTGCAACAAGGGAGGCGACACAACCGTTTATTTTTGGAATGTGCAGCTCGACTCCGTGTTTTTCACAGTGATAGATTTATATAAACCAATCACAAGAAACCTGCAAAAGGATGCAAAAGGTACTGAATTCTAGATCCAGTCGAGCATGACTGAACACCATTATATAAATTTCCCTTGCCCCACACCACCGCAAACCATGACCCCCCACCTCTGCTTTCGCTGGTGAGACCTCCAACGTGGTAGGAAACACGTGTAATTCGTGCAACATCTATGGATTGCCCACAGTTGTCTTTGTATGCCTTTCAGGAACAAACAACAGCTCACTTGGTTGTGGTGAGTCAACCAAAAACATCCAGACACAAAACATCGAGCTGGGTCCGAGCCGTACCCATGCAGGGCTGAGACAACATCATGGGTTTTCGGGTGGTGCCCAGGATCTTGCCCTGGTGTATGGAAACAAGATGGAACCCACGAACCCGAATGCAGGCACGTACTTGAAAACAAACGCCCAAACATTTTTGACACTAGTGTAGGAAAATGTAGGAGACACTCTTGTAGAATGCTCTTGTGGCACACTCTCGTGCAACACTTTCGTCACTCTGTGGGACATTCTTGCAGGGCACTCTTGTAGGACACTCTTGTGGGAACACTCTTGTGGGACACTCCTGTAAGACACTCTTGTGGACTCTTGTGCAACAGTCTTGCGGGACACTCTTGTGGGACACTCACGTATGACACTCAAGTACTCAAATGCAGTCTGGCCACATAAGTTGACAGTTGACAGTTCTGAGGCCAAAAACTGTTTCCCCTATTACATGTGGTACAAAGCTGCCAATTCTACAGCTCCCAGAAGCTGCTTGCCGCACTACATTTGCACTACCAAGTGGCCAATTGTGAGGCCACAGCTCTCAGGAGCTACATGCACACTACCAAGTGGAGAGTTCTGAGGCCGCACCTGCCAGAAGCCGCTTCCCGTACTATATTTGCACTACCAGGTGGCCAGTTCTGCGCAACCTGCTTCCTGCATCGTGTGCTCTACAAGTTGCCACTTCTGAGGGACACTCTTGTGGGACACTTGGTGGTGCACTCTTGCGGGACACTCTTGTATGACACTTTTGCGGGACGCTCTTGTAGGACATTCTTGTCGGACACTCTTGTGGGACACTCTTGTAGGACACTCTTGTGGGACGCTCTTGCGGGACACTCTTGTGGGACACTCTTGTCGGACACTCCCGTGGGACACTCTTGTAGGACACTCTTGTGGGACACTCTTTCAGGACTCTCTTGTCGGCCACTCGTGACATTGTCGGTGTTGAGAGTGTGTAGGTGGTGCATGCTGGACAGCGCTAGGCTGGCTGACTACTTGTCGGGACCCTCAAGCATGCGTTCAACAGAAGAACGCATCTGTCTATTCTTTACATTTGCTTGGCAAATCACCGCAGCAAAACTTGAAATTCAGACACACAGATACCACAACATACCGCAACGATAAACACTTTTGCCCTTGTGTGTGGCAACGTTCCTGCCTGCCATACACAAAACTGACATGTTTCGTCACGGTTCGTCCTTCCCTGTCGCCGCCAACTTTCGTCGATGCTGCGACATGGTCGCCGACCCCGACGAGGAAGAAGACGACCCCTACAGAAACGTGCGCTGGACACATCATGATGGCTCAGAACATCTGAGAACACTGGCTTCCTATTGCTTTTGCGATGTCATTGATGGCAACGCCCCTGGTCGCTTGCAAGGTTTGCCCCGTTGGCTCCCTACACTCCCCCAGGTCTACGTGGCGCCCTCCCTCCGCAGCCACATTGGATCAAAAATCTTCAATTCCACCATGTTGGAATGGTAGAAAGTCCCGCAGAAACCTGCAAGTCTTCCAATAGTTAAAAATCAGAGAAAGAGGGTTTCGAAGTTCTCGGCTTAGCTTCACGCCACCAAGGAACAAGAGAGAGAGAGAGAGGGAGAGAGGGAGCGAGAGAGAGAGAGAGAGAGAGAGAGAGAGAGAGAGAGGGGGGGGGGGGGGGAGGTGAAATTTTCGGATTTGCTCCACGCCATCCAACAACATCCAACCCTTCCACTAAGAGTTGGAGCGTCCTCTGCAAATCTGAACCCTGTTGCAAAACCTTCAAAACGTGTTCATTTCATTCCCACAAATTATACTATTATGAAACATCCCCCTGTGAGTTCGGGAGAAGGCTGGGGTGTCTGATTTTGTAGTTACACATCGGGAGCCGAACCATAGGCCCCCCTCTCAGGCAATCGTCTGACCTCACAAAATACAGGATTGATTGATGCAAAAACTATTACAAAATCACGACCCAAGTACCAAGAGCTCCAAAAAAGAACTTTCAGGAGCCACACTTTGTAGTGAGAAGGATTTGGTAGTGATTTGTGGTCTCTTTAGGGTCATTTTGGCATGTCCGGACTGTGTACGGAGATAGTTTGGCATGTTCTGATTCTGTAGGCATGTTCATGTTCTGATTTCTAACTCAGCCAAGAGAAATATAAAACATCAACATTTTGGACTTGACACGTTTTATTCAATTTGTTTTGCTGTCACAACCTGGAAGCAGGAATATTCCGTGTCAAATCCCGAATTTTCCAAACAAATCGAATTCTGAATTCTCATTGCTGAAACTGAAAATGCATGTTTTTCTGTTACAGTCTGACTTTGAGCACCATTCAGGAAAATCCTTACAACATCAAAACACACAAGAGCCGCAGTGCACTCTCTCTCTCTCTCTACAGATTCAAAACCGCAGGAGCTTGGGCATTTAGAGCATTTGTTCAAAATGCTTGGGCTCTTCTACAGCATCACAACCCCACGTGAAATCTTTGCCGCCCAAGATGCCAGTCGTATTGCTGGATGTAGCTGTCTACAAGCACCGTCAGTGAACAAGTAAACCGCGTCAAAACAGGCATGGCTCGACATCGAGCAGTGTTATCAGGACCGACATCGGTCCGCATCCGGCAGAAACACGCCACAGCTGGTCATGGGTCTGTCACGGCAATGCGGCGCTAGCCAGACCTCCTTTTGCGAACAGTGCGGGGTACTAGGTAGCACGGCCAGATGGGCACCCTTCTCCACACCACCCCTGTTCACCGGAAAACTAAAATCACATTGAAGCACATCAAGTCTCCAATCTTGTTTGAAGCCTGTTTAGTAGATATAAACGTGAAAACCAAAATCTCTCCAAAATGCCTGCAGGGTGTCTCATTTTGCAATGAAAACTTAAAGGGTGATGAATATTGTAACATATCTTCTCACTGTCCACAGTGACTACGTTGCGGCTTTGCTCCCTCTGGAGTCCGGCCGTGCGTGGGCCCTTGGCCCTGTGGCCTATATTCAGAATTCGTCAGAGTCCATTCAGCCGACAACGGCAGACCGGCAAGCGCCATTCAACTATGATGGGTTCATGACCACTACTTGGTGTGGCTTAAATTCTAAGTTCCTTTCCAAGCCAACCGCGCTGCACCAGCTTCATCGTACATCGAGGCGGCCCACGTCGCTTCCGGCCCGCGCCTCCTCTGCTCTGGTTTTGCCAAAGCAGCGCGTGGCTCCGCGGAGTTGCTCCAGCACCGAAGTGGCAAACCCGCGACCTTGCACGCGTTTGCCACAGCCGCCTGCAGCTTGCACAGCTGCAGTGGCAAGCGTGTGGCGTGGACCTGTTCCTCCACAGCTTGCTGTGCAAGAGCAGCCGTCGGCGTCGTGGTGCCAGGACCCCCTGCCCTGAGCACCATGCAGGGCGTCGAAAACCCTTGTGCGACACTCTTGTACACTCACTCTTGTGGGGCACTCTCTTCGGAACTCTTGCGGAACACTCTTAGTAGGACACTCTTGCGCGACACTCTTGTATGTCACTCTTGTGGGACACTCCTGTGGGACACTCTTGTCAGACACTCTTCTAAGACACTCTTGTGGGGCACTCTTGTAGGAGACTCTTGTCAGACACTCTCTTCTGGGATGCTCTTGGGGAACACTCTTGTAGGACACTCTTGTATGACACTTGTGGGGCACGCTTGTATCACACGCTCGTCGGACATGCTTGTGGAGCACTCTTGCGGGACACTCTTGTATGATACTCTTGTGGGGCACTCTTGCAGAACACTCTTGTAGGACACTCTTGTGGGACACCCTTGGACACACACTCTTGTAGAGCACTCTTGTCGGACACTCTTGTGGAACACTCTTGTGGGGCACTCTTGTCCGACACTTTGTAGGTCACTCTTGTAGGAGACTCTTTCGGGACACTCTTGTGGGAAACTCTTGTGGGACGCTCTTGTAGGACACTTTTGTGGGACACTCTGGTAGGACACTCTTGTCGGACACTCTTATGGTACAGTCTTGTGGGACTCTCTTGTCGGACACTCTTGTGCAAAAATCTCTTGTATGGGACACTCTTGTAGGTCACTCTTGTGAGACACTCTTGTCGGACACTCTTGTGGGAAACTCTTGCGGGACACTATTGTTGGACACTCTTGTGGGACACCGACAGTCTTGTAGGACACTCTTGTCGGACACTCTTGTGGGACACCCGTGTGGGGCACTACTACTAAAGTCTCCACGTGTCCAAAACTAGCGTTTCGTGCGAAAGCATTTCGTACGAGACTTCTTCAAATATTCACCGTCAAGTCTCCATCAAGTCTGCAAAGCGAGCGTTTCGTACGAGACTTCCTCCAAAAGTCACATGTCAAAGTCTAAGGATGCCATTCACAGCGGTCGCCAAACGGGATCTTGCATATGGCCCATGCAAAGTCGTGAGAACATTGGCATCATCCTCTGTTATTTATAAGTGGGGAGGTGACTGCTACGGCAGTGAAATCTCAAAGTCCCCAACACTCCAACCAATTTCAATGTTTGCAAACTACCAAACTCCTTCAAACCCATCTCTGCCACAACCAAATCGAACCAAACACCAAAGCAAAACACTGGCAGTCCTAATCTTCGTCCTTGGACAGTCAGCCCTCTACGCGCAGGACGGGTCGCGGTCTTCGTGGATGAATGGTTTAGACCACCTGAAGGGCTCTCCTGGGGTCCGGTTGCTGACAAGGTTATGCGATTGTGTGACTACGTGGAAAAATAAGGTTGCAGGCAGCCGCTGAGATTCCGCCCCGAATTTGTTTTGCTAGTTGGTGAGGCTTTGGAGGCTCGGCCATTCATCTAGATTTGCATACAATATAGATTTGCATTTAGCAGTTCCTCTTCAAATCTAGCATCCAACCAACATGAGCCTGCGTGGCCACCACGGCGCATATGCCTTCTTGTAGCCATACTTCTCCGCATAGCCACCCATGCAGAAAACAACGCGGCCCCCATGATCCGTGACCCTTTCGCGCAACAACTTGAAGAGCACAGTCGTAGTGCTGCTTCTCGCGCATCCGCGCCTCCACCGACCCACCAACCAGACTGTGTCCGGAATCCGTGGCGGAAGACGGTGCAAAGAAGGAATCAATAGAACAATATTTTGTATATAGCCAAGCAGCTAAGTGAGCCGTTCCCAAAGAAGCTGATCCCGCGAACTTTATGGCCTCATATCTTGCAATGAGTTGCAGCCTGCACAGGTCAGCCTACCGGGGCGGAAATCCAATTTTCAAGATCAGCACAGTTAAACCGTCCACTGGGGACAAATTTCACGGCTTGGTTGTGTAGCGCGAGCCACTGTGGAGGGGCTGCAGGAATTTCAATTGCAGTCACCTGTCCAACACCTTAACATGAACCAGGCCTCCTGACAAACTACTCCAAGGTGCATGTAAGATCCCAGCATCTGCCTGTTTGGTGCACCTATTGTTCTAACATTCGCGTCTCAATCTGCACAGAACACTTTTGGGCGACACAAGTGCTTGGTAAGTAAAGCCAAATGTACTAAGTTAAATCAGCACATCACAAGCAAAACCACCCCAAAGCCCAGGAAACAACAATTGCATTTCGTACGAGACTTCGTCCAAAAGCCAAGCGGGAAGCAGCCCTGGCAAGCAGTTCCGCGATTCCAGCCCCCCAGACAACACCCGATGTCACAGCGACATTCAGCTCCACCACAACTCGCAACCTCACGATTCCCCGCACCTGCCGCGAAAATTTGCACATCCACCTCCAACACGCACAAAGTACCGAGCCTGCCACGAAATGTGACCTCCGCCACACCTCGCGACCTCACGACTCCCTGCGCCTGCCACGAAATTGCACTTCCACACCTCAAAGCCCGCACAAAGTACTGCACCTGCCGCGACAGTATGTGACAATATCATATCATGTTAGCTTCAGCAAAATTTGCACCGCGCCACACACTTGGAACGGAGCTGAGACTTGACAGGAAAACACAGCTTCGAAGCAACAGCCTGAAATTCAAATCCCAATGTCATAGCCACATCCAACACCCTAGAAACACCACCCTCCAAACGCCAATCCCAATGTGACTACACAGAAAACTGTCCAGCTCACAAAACGCTGCACCTGCGCAGTGGAATCATCCTCCACACTTCATCATCTCACGTTGCCACACGTTTCCTCGCTATTTCAAACGAATCTGACACGTCATCCAAAACCCTCTCCAAAGCTTCGCCCAATGTCAGCGCCATAGCGCTTCACCTGCGAACGGTTGCGGACGGTTGCGAACGCTACGACAAGGAGTCGTGAACACGAGTCTACCCCCAGACCCCAGAGTTAAACGAGAACCCTTCCTACGCATTTGGGAAACAATGTAAAAATCATGAAAAATCACCAAAGCTCAGGAAGCGACAATCATAATTCAGTGCTCAGCTCCTATTCTTGGGAGGCCCTGCGGGTTTTGAGTTGCGTTGAGTTTGTCGATAGGCTGTGCTGAATGGAAGCTGTTGGTACCTTGATTTGATTGTTTGGTGTCCCGCCAAAAGGAGGTGAGAGTGCCAGCTATTTAATTGGCACAAATGCTTCTGCGATTTGGTGAGTGCTTTTTTGTTGTGTCGCCATGACAAAGCGTCACATCCATGCATGTACTTGCCAAGTAGCGAAGTTCTTCAGGGCCGGACCGGACCGGAAGTCGCACAGTCTCACAACATACCGGTTTAAGAGGCCTTACCACCGAAAAACCAGAGACGGTCGACCGTTTTTGGAGGTTTCACGGTTTTGACCTACCCAATTCAAGTGGTTTCCCTCCTCTCACCCAGTGTGGCTCATCGATTGATCGACTGGCAAGCCAAACACGACCCATGGGACTGACATATGAAACCCTACATTGAGTGTGGTCTCTTAGGGGTCAGGGCGGCAAATCGTCCAGGCCCATGGCAGTGTCTCGGAAAGTTCCCCCCCCCTCAAACCCACCTTTGCCCCAAAAACCTGGATTGAATAATGAATGTGTCTCACGTGAGAAAAAATTGTTTTTCAATTCCAGGTCCTAGCTTTGCTCCCAAAAACACCACACGAGAACACCATGTATGGCATCTCGACGAAGTCAGGCTGCTTGGTTTTTTTTTTTCGCCTCGCTACGAAGCCGTCGGAGACACCGACACACCCGGTATGGGTTCTGTCCCACCTCCTCCTCTTTGATTGGCCTGGGTCCACTTTCTCGCAACGAAGCTCTGGTGTCATTGGAAGTGTTGTTTCATATTTCAGCATGTTTGTGGTGCCAGGGTTTGGTTTGGTTGCAGTGAAATCCAAATGATGACATCAAGGTCGCTGATCCAAGGACAGGACACTCAATACCTTCAAAAACATCCTTCCCCCTCCTTCCCAATTTTATATGGGGTATTGTGTGGGTTTCAGAGTCTAACGGCTCTAACGACTTTCTCAGGAAAATGTGGAACCCCATAACTTGTAATTGTAATATCTTGCGATTACATCACAAGGGAAACACGCAAAAACGGAGGGAGTTATCAATGTGTCATTATTCATTATCATATAAGATTATAAGTTGCCCAATCTCTATCTCTCCCTCTCTCTCTCTCTCTTTCTCTGTCTCGCTGTCGCTCCCTCTCTCTTCTTCCTGCAGAAACAAGCCTTGCTGACAAGGCATCATTTCGCTTTCCCATCCTCAACCAAGCATGCCCCAACAGCAATTCTGCGATATTCCGGTCGACAGCAGCGCTGCCTGCAGTTGTAGAGGCATAACACAATTTGTACAATCTCATGTGAGGTTTGCGAGCTGTCTCAGCAAAGAAGCTGCTCTTGATAGAATAGCACTTGGTTTGTTCCCACAGACACTGTATTGAGCCATTCCGGTAAGTTAGTGTATTGTTGTGCCCACTTGTGGTATCTTGTGGTGTGCGGAGCAAGCCCCACCCCTGACAAGGTCAGACACGTCACTGGATGTCCGAGTCACTGGGATCTTTTGGGGGGCGCCGGTATAGTGGATTGAGAGTAGATGCGTAGATGGCACATCCCAAATGTTGGTGGTTTATAAGGGCCCCCATCTAAAAGACATCGTGTGGGTTGTGCCATCTATATAATCTAGACTCTTGATTCTTGATTGATAAGCTCCCCCATTTGGAATGAAACATCTCTTCATATGGTTTTTTCTCTTTAAATCAAGAGTCTACATTTCAGTAGTCTTGACTGTTGATCGAATCAATGACATATACCAAGTACTCCACCAGTTCCAAATCACACAAAAAACCACTTGTAAGTTATTGTTGCTCTCTGAAACCGCTTGCACCTCCGGTCGATCCCTTCGCTGAGACTCCGCACTTGAGCTCTGACCTCGTCCGGTGGAACCGTGGGTCCGGTCAATCGAGCGGAGCCACCGGCAGCCACCGGTCAAACTGAGGTGCCAAAATGGCCGATAAAAGAGTCGCCTTGGTTTAGTGAGTCCCCTATCGTATGGTTTAGGCCTCGTTGAGCTCGTTGAGCCGAAGAGACATGGACCTAGCTTGGCCGACCACATTGGATGAAGCCCTTTTGCTTTCAGAGCACGGAGCTGCAAAGTCCTATGGGCCATTTTCGAGCGACATCGTCGTCAAGCAAAAAGACATCCCTCCAGTGATGTCCTTTTGGGAACAGTAGAGGGGTCAATTTGGTACCATACATATACCCTGGGGATATCCCGGCTATTAATCAACCAGCCAATAGTATTCAATAGTAAGGCAATCTATGCATCCCTCTTTGGAGTTTGCTCCTCTGAACTCCTTTCACGCTTCTGGAAGCCAGGTCAGACCATGTATGAAACTTGCTACCGCGCTTGCGCGCGCAAGCGGAAGTATGGTGATTGGAGGGTGAGGTGCGCCAGGTGCGATCACGGTTTAGGATATGGCACATCCACCTAAAAGAAGGCATGTTGTTGGTTTAAGCTAAGGGAAACGGCTACTGTATCTCTCACGCCGTTGCACGGAGCCGAAGAAGGTGAATGGCCGCCAATGGCGATACCATCAAGTCTGTCAAGGCAAGCGTCCCATGGGGCGTCACTATGCTGTCCCCAGTGCATCCCAGGCAGAGTAGCAAGTGGCTTGCGGAACCCGGGGGCCCGTTCCGTTCGGTCCACGGTTTTTAGTCGGTGGAAATACTGGTTATGCCCACTTCGGTGGTCTCTGGTTTTGGTCGGAGTCTTCGAGATCCTTCAATCAGCAGCTTTCTGTGCATCTCTATTCCGCCAGCCCTTCCTCCACTGCGTGGCCTGGTGCTCTTCGTCGGTGGCGCCCGGTTCTGAGTGGCAGAGCAAGGAGCTGCAAGGCCAGCTGGAATGGATCTAGTCATCACCACTTTTGGAACTCCTGAAATGTGAGGGTGTTCCACATAGGGCTCCACCGGCAAATCCTTGGGTAATTACTTGGAGCCCCCAAAAACGCCAAACGATCGGCAGAAGGTTGGGAGTGCAGGATATGAATGAGTGACTATTCATTTGTTGCAGCTCCCCCTTTGATCTCGGCACGCGACCACATTCTGCAGACCTGAAGACGAATCTGGGTTGATCATGGTGTTTGTTTTCATGTTGAAAACTATCACTTCTGACGATCTTTGTGTGAAATTCCTCTGCAAAGGTTGTGACTTTCCTCTAGCTCTAACGTCTAATTAACGACAACCACAGCGAATTCCTTGAGGGTTGGAGGAGCATATCGACCATCCTTGGACTTGCTTGAGGACCAGCATATCTCACCATGAACCCCACATGCGAAACCACCCAGCTGATGTGTCACCCCTGGTTCAGCCGCACTGGCAAAATCCTTGGCCTCCCAACAGGAAAAAGAAACCTCGGCGCCGTGGCTGCAACGCTGCGGCTGAGCCAGCAGGAAGAGACACCCCGACTTTGGATCACAGGATTGACAATAGGACACGATAGGGGAAGGTGGTTTAGGTGCGTGGTATCTCTTCCACAGTTTCTCTCACAAAGTGCCATCCAAGATCTTTGGGGCAAAGCTTGGCTTTCACATTGGAGCCACCCCGATACGAGCCCTGAAAAACTCCGCTCCACCAAATGTCAAGTATGTTTCCGTGAGCGTCCCCGTCAAAAGAACAATATGCCAAAACAATGGTGATAAAAAAAAGAAACAAGTAATTAATGGTCTTGAAACCGGTAGAACATAAGATAACAGTAGAAACACTTGAAACCAGCTGGTTACACTCTCTGTGATAAGCAAACAGTAGAAAAAGAAACGCAGCCCATTAAAACCCCGTGGAACATTCACAGCACTGAACATGTAGAGCTCACGAATGCACTTACGTTAGGTTGGAACGATTTGCTGTTCGTCCAATACCTATAGAAGGAGTAGCCTGTGAACTTGATTGCTGTAGTTAGTGTGTTTTCATGTGTTTTCTATAGTATAATGACGTTAAAACATGTTGGCCTTCAAGTGTTCTGTTTTGAAACCCCCAATCTAAAATAAAGATAGTAACTTTGACCACACTGGCCCCTCCAAATAGACCAGCTTGGTTTGCACCAGAAACAGGAGCACAAGCGGCTTAGTGGGCCAATATGAGCCAACTGCTGCAAAACCCGGACCCCTGAACTTGAAGAAACAAAATAACATCCTATACTCCTTTAGCTCCACCTGCACCTGCAAATGCTCCAAAGCCTCTCAAAAACCTTGCCATTACCATCAAACCCCCAACTGCAACCCTGATCAACTCTCAACCCCCTGCCATCAACTCTCAACCAACCTTTGCATCAACACCCGAATTCCAAGCGACTTCCAGATGTGGGCAGCCTGAGCATCCTCTGCGATCAAGAACTCACAAGAACCGGGCCTGGGAACCAGCCACCAACGTTGTTCGGAAAAAGGAACCGCCCGCTAGAGGGTCGCAACCAGCCGGGTTCCTCCAAAACGGGTGTTTCAACGAGACCTGTTTTGTTTCTTTGTAACCGGGCACAACAGCGCTGTATTCCTGCAAGATTTGGGCATGCCGTCCTTCAAGAACGGTAAGTATACTGCCCCGCTCAGAAAAAGCTTACGTCACACAATTCCAAAAAACAACCATCAAGGATTGGCAGGACTGGCATACATAGGTTGTCGGATGGGTCATGAATGAATGTCCCAGTTTGGTCACTGAAGTCTCCTTCGCAATGAGGCCATTTTGGAACTTCATGTCACTGAGAATTCGGGCGGGCGAGCAGTACGACTATATGCATGTGACCTGTATGTGTGTGTGTGTGTGTGTTGAAGTCCTTAGTTCTTGTAGTCTGAAAACCCTTGAACACCTCACAAACTCACGGGATGCATTTCGATTCGTGCACGTTGGCCCCAAAACATATGTCAGGTGCTGACACGCGCGCACACACAACCAACCAACCAACCAACCAACCAACCAAACAAACAAACAAACAAACACATGCCTTTTGTTTTCCGGCGCAACTCTGCGGAAAATGCCAAGCCAACCATTCGACTCGTACAAATCAGAGACTACCACACACCACTTCAAGAACAAACTTATATAGACATGGACACCCATGTCCGGCTTTCAGGTCCATTCTATCATTCTATTATATATTCTGTGTCCACCTGAGATTCGAGATTCACATATTTAAATCTTAGATTGTCGTTGACAATAGTTGACAATACAAACGCAAAAGCGCCAGTCTCAGCCTTTGGGGGTTGCTAGGACTCGACCACCGAAGTCTGTGGTTGTCAGCCTTGGCGAAGTCATCGTCAGTGGATGCTGTCACTAGGGAACCAGTAGTTCCAAAGACTGTTCCAGTGCATCAGTCGATCAAACGGTCCCATCTTTTTCTACAGGAACTTTTTGATACTGCTCGATACTGTTCGACGTTTTTGCTTTGGAACCAGTGGTGCCCTAGTATGTGAAAAAAGTCCTTGAACGTTGAAACACTCAAGAATTCTTTGGATATTGAATGCCCTGGATTCACTGTCAGCACATCTTCAAAGCATCGAGGCCATGATTTCATCCGGCACGTCTTGCCGCCGGGAACCTCGGTTCAAGCGTCGTAGACTGTTCCCCATCTTCTGGATTCAAAACAAAGGCCAAGTTGGCAACAGCACATGAAGAATAGCCTATGCTGCCCAACACAAAACGACTCGTTTAACCCACATTCACATGTTTTCGTGTGTGCCAGGAAGAATTTGGTGATGGTTTGTTTTCTATGTTTACCTTCCCAAGCAAGGCCTGAGGAGTGGTCTAACTTGGAAGACTTCCCCCCAGTCCCCTCCATTTTAGTCTTGGTCAGTTTCCCTGCTCGATTCAGAGTGCGTTTGTATATATATATAATTAATATATCCATATCTTTCCGCAATCACTTGGAGTCCTCATGTCATCTAGACCATTCCTATATTATGGATGTTGGGTCCAGGCCAAGTTGTTCTGGAATTCCCTTCCACCTAAAGGCCAGCATCCAACCTATTTCTATAATTTTTTTCTGAAAAAACAAGCATTGAAATGAAAGTATGATGTGCAAAGAAGCTGCTTCCCTCCTATCAAACCCCTAGAGTTAGAGATTAATCGATTCATCTGGGCACCTTCCATGCTTCCAGCACATCGGTGTCCCAGATCCTCAGATCACAGCGAACGACCAACGAACGAAAAAAACAAACAAAAAGAAACATGGACACAGTTGGATGGAACCAAAACCACCTCAATGGACGCCAAATCCCACCAAATCCCCGATTCTCTTTCCAGCCGTGCCCTGCTCCAGTCCGTTGGTGGACCTGCTCCAGTCCGTGTGCGGACTCTTGGACGGTCGTTGGCCGGGCCGTCGCCTGGAATCCCTGACCAATCCGATCCAATGCACCGAAAACAGCGGGAGACTTCCCCCCCAAAGGTGAGTCCTTTGGTCCTGGTCTGGTCTAATGAGTCAAACGCGAACGCACGTTGACTTGCACGAACATGAATTTAAAGGAAAGCGGCCAATAAACCATGCTCAATTCTGCTTGATGGGGAATCATACAGTTCGATGATGTGCTTCACGATGCGCGAACGAACGGTTCCGTGCACCGTTCGATCTCTGGCTTCTCTGCAAGTCTCAGCCTCTTCTTGCCAATATCCCAACTCTTGCTTCGAGACACGTTGCCCTGCCAGCACAGCGGCGGTATCGAGCGGTCAACATCTCACGCATCGGTGGCCTCGTCTCTACAACGTCTACATCCTACTGGTGGAGCGTACCGTGGGAGGTCTCTTCTCTCGGTAAAACAGCGAGGCAAAGCACCAAACGCCTGGAGAGTCGCTGAATCGGATGTGTCCAATTCATGAAGCTGCTAAGCTATAGCTGCGCACTTGATAGCTGCGAACTGCTGTTTAGCTCTCTCCTTCAAAAACCTAGACTGTACCTTAAACAAGAACATCCAGGTTCAAGTTGTTACACGTGGCATGGCAACCATACTCACAATTTTATCACACGTGATTGCAAGTGTCAAGTGGTTAGGAAATTCCCTGTACCTGGCAATGGACACCTTCTCTCTCCTAACGCTCCTTAGCTCTCTCCCTTCACTAGACCATCAGCCAGATCGCAGGATACTGGATGTATTCCGACAAAAAATGACAAAGGAACTAAGTCATATTTCTCCTCCATGTTCAAGGATGGAACGATGAACAACGACACGGTCACCACCCAGCCTCGGTCTGCGTGTGCCACCACGGCCTATCAGCGTGTGCATGAACCTGGATCTTCATCACCAAAAAAGACATCGTCAACATGTTGAATAATGCAACAACATTATGAACCTGGATCTTCATACATGTTGATATTTTTCATGTTGAATAATGAACAAAACAATATAACTATAAAACAATTAAAACAAAAAGTAGCAACATCCGCTTGTCGATCTCATGATACGACACTCAGCTGCGCCACACTCTCATCAGATCCGACCTCACCTCCGGCCCCTCAAAGCAGAGTCCAGCAGCTCCAAGTGCGGCTGCCAGGCGCCGTGCAGCGTCGCCCTTCGGCTCGTCGACCGATGCAGCCAGGCGGTCTGCCAGGTGCAAGAGGCGATCGCGGAGCCACCTGAGTTCCAATCTCTCCAAAGAAGGACTGACTGTTTTTGTCCAATCGTTGGCTGCCTTTGGAAACGAGATGAAGCATGACGAAGCATAGACACTTTTTCGTTGCCCCCCAATCCCCATGATGCCCAACCCAAGCTTGGCAAGCTCCAACTTTTGACCCTGAGGTGAAAATCCCGCGCGATCGATTCCCACCAACCTCTCAAAGGGACAGTGAACAAGTATCCCATTGATCATGCCGAAAAAGGTTCTGAATAAAACACAGTGACTGATCATGATCACCACTGCGAGGAACTGATAGTGGACGATGTTTTTTTCAGCCTTTACTATCCTTTGCCCAGCAAATCCCAGCAAAAATGACTGTCTTTCAGGAATGGATTGCCCCGCCCGGAACGAGTGGAACCATTCACGATTCACCAAATAAAGACACCCAGTAGGAAAGGCTTTGAGTTTCACCAACACCCCAATCTGAACGAAAGCTGCTGGCCAGGGCAGTCCGCCAGCTGTTTCATGAGCGGTGTCCCAAGCACCTGTCAACACAGCACGGTGTCACGGAGAACCTGCACCGGGTCAAAGCCCTCTTCACCAAAAAAAATCACTTCCAACCGCACCTGTTCCCGGGAATCGAGGTGTTCATCAGATTCCCACATGTTCAGGTCGTGTAGGGCCTAGGCCTAGGGTTTTGCATGGTGAAAGAAGGGCCAAGCGCATCGATTCATCGATTGATCCTTCAGTCATGTGGCGTGAACCGGACATCAGTCTTGCAAAGAGATATGAATCAGCTTCCCAATTTGCACAAGACTCAACCAAATATATACATATGTTATAAATGGTCATGAGTCATAACATGTCATAACTATATATATATATAGATTTGTGGAGGGGTGCTGCGTTAGTCTCACTTTCCATTAGCGTTTCACTTTATTGGAACAGATGCTCGCCTTGCCTTTTCGACTACTTGCCCCTTCTTCCAACCGTTGGCCCTGACTCTCGCCACGCTCATTTTTGTAACAGGGATTCTGCTGAAAATTCAGAACTCAGTTTTGAGCAGGTTTGATACGATGATCCAAGTGTTTGTAATAGCCATGCAGTGCTGTCAGAGTTTCTCAAACATGTTGTTTTTGACGCCTTCATCACAGTTTCGGCAATTCTTGTCTGGCTTTATCGTGGGAGGTGTACCCAAATGCAGCGCCCAGCCATTTTCTACGTTCCTGGTATCCTGGTAATCAGTGTGTTTTATAGTATATCTCCTTCGAGACAGCTCGTTCATGTGATTGAGCCATGAAATCATAAAACTGAACGTTTGTCCGAGTTCAAACACCCAAGTTCTAAAAAGATCTAAAAAGTGCTCGCCTCAAACAGCCTAAAATAGGTGTCAACAAGTCAGAACTGAACAGGAGGCTCCAAAAGACGCGTCAAGCCTTCGAAACGCGAATTGTCGGTACAAGACTTGAAATGTGCGTTCCCTCACGACACGCTGCACCTGCGCAGGAAAACATGTCACGTTTCTACGCCATTTCGCGTGAATGGGACACTTCTCCATCCATCTCTTCGACCTGTTCCAAAAGTTAACCTTAATGGCTGAGTGTTGTGCAGGTCCCAGCGGCACCAACACGGGGGGGCACGTTGTCTACGTGAGCCAGGTCCAAACACCAGACCCAGAAGATCAGATCATCTGTTGATTCATCCCTAGGCATCGTGTGTTCAATCACCTAGGCAAGTGCAAACTGGACATGAAAAACACCAATTCATCCCCAGCCAATGAATACCCACCGCCCCAGCCAAACCCTGCGAGCGACCTCTTTTCCAAAAACCGCTCGACCTGGATGTCCGCAGCGGCGCCCAAGGGCCACAGCTCACTGAGGGTCGTTTCCGGGAGATAGGTCACGGCTAAGAAGTCTTTCTGCGGGCGACCAAGGACCTGCAGCGCACGGAGCCCACACGTGGGGACTTGGTGGCAGCGGGGCCTTGGGCCAATGGCTCGATTGGTGGCAGCGGTTCGGGGATGGGACTGGATTTATGTGCGATTTGGTGGATATAAACATTGGAATCCGTTCAAACAGTTGAAACCCATTACAATCAGGGTTTGATCTGGTACACCGGATGAATCGTTGCCACAAGACCTGCCATGTGAAACCAACGGTGATACTGGTTACTGGCCCTCGCCACACCCTCGTTTCCACACACGTGTCACGTCACGTAGACCGGAAAAAGAACGTCTGCGTCCGTCCAAGGCACCACCACTTCCAGACCTATCGAGCCCGTCAGCTGCTTGGTATTCCCCAAGCCTGGACGGACGGACGGTGATCCCAGCGACGGACGGACGGAGGGGCGACGGTTCATGACGACGGGCGAACGCCAAGGATACGCCAAGGATCGACGGGCTCGAACGCCAAGCAAGCGCACCGTCCGAGATTCAGAACCAAGTGGAGAATGACCAAGTGGAGAGCAGAAAAAAGAAACACAGTAAAAAACATGTCAACTCTTAAGTGCATATGCTGCATAAGTAGTTACCACAAGTACACAGGTCAGTGTTCATCCAATAGTCCTCAATCCCATCTCAAGGGAAGTGACACACCACATTCTCGGTCTCCACCTGGCCTGGCAGCCAGGCGCGCCCTGGCGCACGCACCAAAACGGCTAGGTTGCCCAGTGCGGCGGGAGCATCCAGCATACCGAAGCGTACCGAAGAGGCACCAGCTTCGGTGGTCAAGCTGGTGGTGTAGCCGATGACCTTCAGGTTCCAACTGACAGCTTCGAAGGTAGTTCGGTAATGTTCGGTAATTTATATATATATAGCCTTCTATACGTACATTGGTGTGGTTTCAGAGTCAATGGGTCTATAATATCTTGGTCTATATTCTACTCGCTGGGAGTGTCATAGAGTTCCACTCGCTTCATCCAGCACCGTTCCGAACGCGAACGGCCGCCGTTCCTGCCCTCCCTCGCCTTGGCGCGGTGAACGGGCAAACCGGGCGAAGGCTCCAACATCTGCAGAGCTGCCGTCGCGGACAGGGACAAGGGAAAGACCGCGGAAGCTCGTCCTGAGGTGCAGAGTGCGCGAAGTGCACAGCTCGGTGTTTTTTTTTCTCTTTATACATGTATCATCTGTAGGGTACTTGGCGACGACCTCTGGGCACCAGACTATGACACGTACTGGTGCCCCTTTTGCATGTGCAGCACGGCCTTGCAAGGCTGGGAGCTTTTAATTCTTGGAATAGTTATATTCGGTACAAGCAGATTAGGGTTGTGTCTGTGTCCCGTGTGTCACCTGTTGTGACTGTGTGCTTAAACCGATCACACCTCCGATTGTGAAGGGGAGTCTATATAGGGGCCTTGGAGGCCTTTGCTTACAGAAGCGAGGTGGTCCAGAATCTTTCAATGGCCCATAAACTCTCTGCGGAGTCTATGGTACAGCACGCCCCCGCAAACCCGTTCGGGAGCGGGCTACTTAGGGAGTGCAGGACTTGGACATTGCTGGGCACTGCTCAATCAAAAAGGTCCATCGTCTACAGCCCACCTCTTTAGTCTACAGGAAACCCTCTGCGTCGTCTACAGTCTACAGGGAAATCATCACACATCCACATTCTTCTGGCGGAAGGTCTCCTGTAAGGAACTCGACATGTCCAGAAACTTCTGGAACGGGACAAAGGGACCCCTTCTTTCGGACGTCGAGAGTCATCGTCAACAGTGGTTCCGTGTTGGCTCCTTCCATTTGGTGACAAATGAACACAGCTTATGTATAGTGGACCCCAAATAGGTCAAACCTGTTTGAAGATTTAAAACTACAAAATGAAAGGGGACCGACCTAGCTGTTAAGATCTTGTTGAGCCATGGGCCATGTTCGTTGAATTCTGTTCCAGACTGGCATGGTGAACGTCACAACTCTCCCAAAGAGCTGCTCCGCCTTCACTCCCGCCCCCCGTCGGGCCACGGCGCCAAAGCCGCAGCGCACGGTATCGTCGGGCACGGTCGTCGGGCACGGCATCGTGGCAGCGCACGAGCGTTCCGCGAAGAGATGTCGCCAGCCGGAGCAGCAGCTCATCGCGGCATGGGGTGGAGAAGTGAATGTCCCAAGGACCTTTACAAACAGAGTGAGACCAGTAGTGAGACCCAACTGACAACTGAATAGAAAACGGAGTTGTATCGATATGTGTCTTTTTGTTCAGTCAAATTCCGGTCAAATCAATTCAGTTTCCAAGCGCTACGAGGGAGTTTGGATCATGTGTATGTTTTTTTTTCATTCCAAGCTGCATTGGCCCCTGCTTTCTGTCAGCTAAGGTCCAAACGCTCGTTTTGGGGAAGTCAGGATGATTCATGGGGCCACCGTAGGAAGGCGGCTTTGTGTGTTTCGGAAGGCAGAAACTCCAGGTGACAATTGGCGCGTGCACGTTCGTTTCCGCGCCCACGAGTCCACGATGTTTTAGGTGGTTCACACTGCAGTCTCCCTGTTTCTCATGCTTTTTTGATCGTTTTCGCCCTCCTTGAAGCTTCGAGCAGCAGGGACAGAAAAATCACCCATCAAACCTGAAGGTGTTGGCTTATAGCATCCTTCTTTAAAACAACTTCAATGGTATGGGGCGCTCATCTGAGGAATTCTTGATGCAATACAGGTGTGCTGTCGCCCTAAATCCAATATGATTATAGGCTGATTTCTCAAATCCTCCAGAAAAAGCACCGAACTTTCGGATCCTTTCGGAGTACACCTGTGAGTCGTTTTTGGGGTTCCCAATTGGAGCCGTCCCCAGGTCCGGTCCCTCCCGCTCGGTGTCGTCCCCTCGGCTGCCACGCTCCCTCCGCGGCGCGGAGGCGCTGGTCCAGCGCACTTGCGCTGCGGCATGGACCGTCATGGTGGCCACCACCTGGAGTCCGCGTGTGGCGTGTGGGTGAGAAAGGTGGAAAAGCTGTTAGGAAGAGGTGCATGGTGCCAGGCACCAGCAGCCGGTTCTTTTTGTTTATGAACCGCGTGGTACCAATTTCAAAGCTGTTGACGCAGTACTCATATAGAAACTGTGGCAAAAGCGTGTGAAAGAATATGGTCGAATAGCGAGCGACGGATTCCAAATAAACAATCAGCTGGGTGTAACCAGCTTGCTCTCACCAAGAGCATCAATACAAAGGGATCGGCAAGCGTGTTAAGTTACACACCCGCAGGATCCACCATTTGGATGCCAATGCACTGGAGTTGGACCGAATCCTCGAATGGGAGAAGCTTCTCCACAGTATCATGCACCTGGCGCACCTGGACATATCTGGACCCTACGGGAAAAAAAACTGTTGAGATATACAATAGTCACAAAATGTCTCAAATTACAAAAGGAATCCTATAGCACCTGGACATACTTGGACTGTAGCTCGCTTTCTTGGAGACCAATTGGGCCTTCAACACGCTATAAGCGCGTGCCCGACGATCTTCCAAGAACCGCAGCATCGACCTAAGGGATTGTAAGGGAAAACAATTGATAAAAATCAATTTGTTTTTCAAGCCAAGGGGGTCGGCCGCTAGGGGGTCGGTTGGTTGCCTCCGACTCCTCACTCCCGGAAGATCAAAAAGCTGCCGGTTGTCGATCAGGAGCTTGCGAGGTCGATTTGTTGGGTTGGATGCTTTGGGACATTCAAGATAATTGAACTTTCCAAAAGTACAAAACTACTGTAGCCTTGGAATCTGGAAACATGATGAACCATGTGCTTCTCGAAGCACCAGGCAGCCCAGCCCCCCTCGACACATGTGAGGGAATTGTCAAAATGTCAGTCGGTCCCGGCGTCAAACATGGGAATTCCGTGGCTCCTTCCCCCGGTTAGCACTCCGAATTCGGCTCCTGTAATCACTTGCCTTCTCCCCCCCCACTGTCCAACCCCAGTTTTGCCTATAGCAGTGAGTTCAACAATCCCTTTACATAAATTGAAAGTCATTGAAGACCAAGCCAAGGTGCGCCATCAACGTTCTCCAGTTTCAGCGTGCGGATGTCAAACCTCGTTGCGCAGAAATCCGTGGACAAGCTGCATCCACAATCTCCTTCAAGTGTCAAAGTGTCTGATGGCCCCTTGCTTCTCTCAGTTGAACCAAAGTCCTAGTCAATGGCTCCTTCCTCATCTGGGTCATTGCTGTCAACTCCGGCCGGCACAAAGCCTTTTGTGTTTCACTGTTGGATGACCCAAACCCTTCGCTGTCAACCATGACGCTGACCCTAGGATGTCCAAGGTTTTCAATCAGGATCATTCATGGTTCTAGTTCCGCTAGAATGATAGCTGGTCTCCGCGGTTCCAAAGATTAACGCGTACTTAAACCATACCGAACCAAAAGCCATAATTAATATACCTAGGGATAGGGATCCAAGTACCATCTCAGAAGGTTCTTGGACCCTCCAAACCTCCATGACCGTGTCTCCCATCACCTTCTCAGAGAGTATGTGGATACCTAGGGAATATATATATATATATATTAATATTAGTATATATATATAGTGATGTTTTCATTCAGTAATTCATTTGCATGATACCTGGGCTGCCGCTATGGGATGGAATGGAGCACGCCCCTCGAAGGCCAGAGCTTGGCGCTTTGGCCCATGTTTGGCCGTGGCCGAGGGACTGATCGGAGTTGGCCAAATGGTTGGTGGTGCCAAAATGAGCACCTCCGCCGTGGACAGCTATGTCTCCGCTGTCGACGGGTGTTCGGTTGATCCGTGATCCACGTGGCACCTGTCATTGAGTGGGGTCCGTTTTGAACATGATTTCTGGGGAAAACGATCTGAAAAAGGATCCCCGAAGCAAAAAGGATCTCTCCTAAACTGGTGGATGGATAGAATACTTCAATGAACAATTGGCCGGGTTAAAACCGCCATTCAAACACCCAACACCAGTCTCCGTCAAATGATAGGCCATGTGCAAATCCGTAGCTGCTCAATCTCAACTAGAGACAGGTAAGGCAACTTCCAGACGGGGTGATGGCATCCAAAGTCAGTCCAGGTCACACAAAACTCATCAAGCACTATACATGTTCAGGTCTCTCGAGCTCAAAACTGCCCAAAAATGATCTCCAATGTCCGGTTCATTGATTCATGGTATCACTCGCAGCTTCCATCGGTTTCCTACAAATCCACGCTCGCAAATAAATATCCCTCCGCTCGGAAGCGCCACATGCTTGCGCTTCCAGGATGTCTGATTGATGGTTTTAACGTGTTTTGACCCACCTGAAGAGCATTCCCAGACCACCATCCATGTATGGAATAGTTACGCATAATGTTACATACATTAGGGATTAAGGGTATTGAAATTCATATGGATTCATCCTCGCAAACATTGTTTTGGTGTTTAAATCATCTCGATACCGAGGTGGTTGGGGTGACCATGGTTGACCAGGTCAAGCTCTCAAAGCGATGGTCATGTCACCAGGCTCGGCACCAAGGTGGTTCCCAGCCAGGTCTGCCACGGTCAAACCTGGGGGTCGTCGCCGACTCCGAGGTGCTTTAAACCAGTGGTGCTTAGGGAGCGTCCGACGTGTTCTATCCCTGGGTCCCGGGCAGTCTCGGCTTCGAAACCGATACCAGTATCTTACTACAATCTTTCTTTCAGCCTCATGAAGTGACCGACCCGGAGCTCAGGGATTTGGAAGCACTCCGAAAACCTGTGGAATTCGCTGATTACATTTGTTGAACTCCTCCACTGCATGCATGGCTTTGATCTTTTGACCACGCAAGAGCCGAAAGAGTATATATTCTTCACTTGTACAACAAGCAAAGCACCTTGCGCATGTCAGACTGCGCACGAATGTGCATGACGCAATCGACGAATGTGGCCAAAAGAGTGAACATCTGCTGGGGGGACAACAGAGTGAAGCGCCGATTCGATGCCAATTGGGATCGGACGTACATCTGCTTTTGCGCCAGCATCCAAGACGAGAAATGCCTGGCGGAGGATCAAAAAAACCGGCACGAGAAATGCCCGGGTAACAGAAGAAGAGATACCTTATACACATACATTGAACATGATTGAACATGTATGTTCTCCAAACATGTAAGCATGTGAATATATGTACATGCATGCGTCCATGTTCAGAAAACCAGTGAACTTTTGCCGGCGTTGCTGCACCTTTTTTTGCTTGGGTGGTAATACTCCGAACAAATTACTCTCCACATCTCTCCACCAAATCTGGATCAATTCTGAAACAAGTTGTTCTCAGAAAAGGTCTGTTGGACTTCTAGGGTTCAAATACGCTGTGGACCTCTCTGTGTTACTCGGACGGACCTCTGACACCACCCGGCGTTCGGGCCAGCCGGCTTTGGGCTCGTGAAGGGTTTCAGTGAAGGGCTTTGTCGCTGCTTGAGACAAACCTGCTACTGGAACTAAGAACCAAACCGGTTCCGAACGGAAGGTCCGGTCCTTCGCAACAGGTTTGGTTCGTGAAGTTCCATCGACAGGATCGGAAGACAGATCGCCAAGCCACGATCTCCGGGAAAAAAAAAGAACCGGAGACTCCGTCTCGGTCTCTTGGTCGGGCTCCAGACGCACCAGTCGAGCTGGATGCTGCCACCTGTGGAAGGATTGAAGATGGGTTTTGCCCGTCCTGGTCCGAAAATCTCTGTGCCACACGAGATTAACTGGAAAGTGGTAGTACATAGCAGTAGAGTCAAAATATGTCAAACAAAATACTAGACTTGCAGAAGACAGCAAAATTGAACAGGTCTCTTTCGGAGCTTGCTGAACACTTCTCCAAATACTAGACTTGCAGAAGACAGCAAAATTGAACAGGTCTCTTTCGGAGCTTGCTGAACACTTCTCCAAGCACTTCAAGCAATCAAGCAAGCTTCAGCTAGATTCAGTTGACACCATGGGTTGCATCGCCCTGAGACCGTGGAGGCAAAGTTCTTCTTGTTCCAGGCAGATAGGGCTGAACAAAACATCAACACCCAACAGGTCAATTGAGGCCTCTTAGAAGCTTTTAGAAGAGACCTATTGGAGGTGCTGCTACATACACAAAAATGTATAAAGAATAGTTTTCCCATATTGCTCCTTGTGTGTGCCAAGCCAGTACAACAGTGAATTGAGATTAGAAAACCAGTTCAGCCTGTTTTCCAGAAATGGACCCCAATCTAAAGATGTCTGAAGCACACAATTCGCTCCCCCTGCTATTCCATTGCCCCAATCCACTGATACAGCCGTGAGAAAACACCCCCCACCAGCAGCGTTTGGCCGAAAGATCTCCGAGGGCAAATGAGCCTAGTGGCATCCAGTGGCAGTGGCACCAAGGTGTTTGTTTGGAGGACTTTCTCACGGGAAACGCAGAGTGAAAGAGCAGATTTCTGTTGTTTGGACAAAACAGTCATGATCCTTCATGGTGGTTGAGGATTTCTGCTCAGAACATTGTTTCTTTGCAAAAACATCTATATAAAACATTCTAAAACATTTCTGGGTGAACATCCCTTTACTATATGTGCAGCTGTCAAAACTACTTGCTTAAACTCATGCCATCACATATGACATAGATTCGGGGGGGCACCGCTTGTTTCAGTTTTGGACTTCAGGTTTCAGCTGGTTTCAACCAATCAAGCGTACAGTGTACTGGATGAGCACGAACACTCAAAGGAGACACACAAACAAACACATTTCACTTGAATCGAAGGCAACAGCTAAGCTCAGCTACGAACATTTAAGTGGGCAAATGACGGACTGGCATGCTCAAGGGCATCGATTGAATTATCGCTTACGCATCGCTACAGGTGTCGCTTTAAATCTCCAAGTTTTGGCCCCTGGCGGTTGTTCATATTGCTTGGGATACATGATCTACGCAAGGTTTCTTGTGTTTTTGGCGAGTGAGACTCAATGATGAACGACTTGCTGCCTGTCGCCTGTGCAGTGAAATCAGCATAACTCGAAAATCAAAAAGTCAACCTTCCCTCCACATGCAAAGTTTGTTTATTAAAGAGCCGGAGGGGTCATGGAAGGGATGAAATCCGATTTGTTAAATCTTTGTGAAGTAAAATGAGGAAGGGAAAGTGCGCAACCGATTTGGTATGCCAGGATACGCTACTTCGTGTAAGACACACCCACAGGCATGATGACAACTATAGTTTTTCCATATTTTCCCAAGTCAATGAATCCTTTGGTTTGATTATAGAGCTTCACGCTCGAAACGTTTGTCACCCTCCAAATTATGCCTTGGCCACCGAGAAACCGGTTTGGAACTAGAACAAAATAATCATCAATAATAGGAGATTTGGTAGGCAGTCCATTACTGCATCACAACGGGGACCGTTCTGACACACTCGGGGAATGCGGTTCGGAATTGTTCCATGCCTCATGCCACGCGCCCACCTACTTGTGCAAGCCTAAGAAGTCAGCCAAGATTTCCAGCAGACTCCGAGCCCTCAAAGGTTCGTCAACGCGTGTCTGCCTATGCAAAACACGTGCGGCCGGAAGTCTTGTTCTAGTAACAAGCAGGGACCAGTATGGAATTTCCAAGTCACAACGAGCAGGTACAAGTGGTTGATCAGACCACTCATCCACCGAAATGCCATAGCTTTGTTGGACTGGATAGGCAAATCGGCTCCAGTCCCCCTAGAAAGACCGACAGGTCCCCCATGACTCCAAGGGTTTCTCACACACACAAAGCAAATGTCCGCAAACCAAATGCAAATCCAGGCGACCGTCTTAGTATTGCCCTCCATGGTCACATACCAATGGCACACCATCCCTGGCAGCACTGCACATCATCCCACAGGTTTGGCAGCGAATTGGCAACTGAATGTCATTTTTGTCAGGTGACACAAATGGTTTCCTGATGATGGTCACCTATGGCACCTGATGACATCTGATGGTCACATACCCATGGCACTTTCTCCATCAGGTTCCCAAAATCACTGGGTCTCTTCTTTCCAAAATCACATGATCTACGTCTGCAAATGCCACTGCAACTTTGCAACTAGCATGAGCAAATCCAATGACCCTCACAAGCTCCATAACGCTCGTTATGCACGAAGACACGAAACATCTTCCTATTCCCCTTGAACATGGGGTATTGTTGTCTTCTTGAACATTTCCCTAACTAATTGTCGACCTCTTAGGTTTATGTCTGAGCATACCTCTGATGTTTTTTCTATTCTATTCTCAAGTCTTCTCAGTTGGCTTCTTTCACCAACTTGGAGGCCGTTTTTCCCTGAGGATGTAGAAACCCAACAGCGGCAGCCGGCGCAGCGCACCTGTCTCACCGCCTTTGGGCGTGCCTTTGGGAAAAGCCTTGGAAAAGCGCCCAGAAGTGGGGCCATGACCCCAGACTGTTTCATGGCACTCTGAAAAACATCCATGGCCTATCAAACCAGGTGTGGCCTATGTACCAAGCAAAATTGGTCAACCCGGGCAAAACATGACTCTTTACCTGCCTGTGAAGCTCCGAAGAGTCTAAGAAACTCCGACCCCAGCGACTCGGGCGCCCAACCACGGTCTCACAGAGGAGCACGCAGACTTGAGCCGAGGCGTCCTTGCCTGGGACAAACAAGGACCAGGCGGTGCTCAAAATGTCTTAAGTTTGTGGTGACCACAATGATTCATTGATATATAATGATATATACAATGATAGGATTAATCGCATCATCTGGACAACCGAGTCGGTAGGTGCGGTCTTCTGTGCGCGGTCTCGAGGACCACACGCCGCCAAGTCAAGAATCTGAACAGGTTCATGAGTTGTTTCCACCAATAATCACCATGATCACTCCAGAAAATATAAAAACATAACCAAGGGGGATCCACCTCTCACCTTCTCATAATAGGTCCACTTCCTCTCATGTTATCTCAGGGGAAAAAACGCCCCGAAGCCAATGCCAATGTTCAGCATGTTCAAACCGCAGGCAAAGTGTTTCTTTCGTGTTCCAGGACTCCCGAGCGGATCCCCGACATCACCTGCGAAGCAGCAGATTCAGGAGGGCCGCGCAAAGCACAAGGGTACCAAATCCAGCGACGGATCAAGTCCAATAAGGGAAATACACACGGTCACACGGTATTGATTGGTATGCCGCTTAAGTGACTGGATTTGAAGTGACCTCCCAGTTTGAGGATAGCCAGAAACACACGACTGGCTTTGAGGTCTATGGTTTCAGTGGTTGGTTGGAACCACTATATACCGCTATAATGATAGTTGGATGATTGCATTTGGAAACAAACATAGAAAAACAATGAAAAACATCTACACTCCTTGAAAATTAATCATGGAAGGGGGGAAAACCACCATGGGTTTGGTGTTCGGAAAATGGTCCTCTCAAGGGCCATGCCATCCACGTCGATGATGATTTCAGGGAATATATCAATCAAACATATCTCATCTGTGGCTGCTAAACCCCAAAAAACTGGACATCACAATAAGTCGAAAAGTGTGCCACATCTTCCAATGCCAACACAAACACCCCGCGCACCCCGCTCATTTGTCAACGACTCAACACTGAACTGGAACACTTGGCCCAGGGTGGCCACTGGCCATGTTTGAATTTCAACATATTTTAAAGCCACCAAACCCCCAAAAAAACATTTTGGAACATCATGCTGGAGGATTTCAACCGCACTTTTGGCCCTCATGGTCCCTCCTTTCGGTCCCACGATCCCCTGCCTTCGTGCCCCTCCCCACATCTTCACCTTTCTGCTTCGAGGCGGTGATGAATGGGCCCCGCTGGTTGGCAACAGGGCGATTGCACTGCTAACCTCCACCCCCTTGCATGAACCGATGGACTGTGATAATGGACCGTTGCAAGATTATGTTTATCTACCACCCAGTGGTTCACCACCCAGTGGTTTTCAAGGTCCATGTTAATGTGCAGGAGGGCACATTCATATCCCAGAATTTTCCTCCTATGGATAGCATTGCAATAGCTGCCTCCATTGACCCCAGAAAGGATCCCACATCGCCATTGCGCGTGTCATGAAAACATTATTTAAAGTTCCTATCGACTGGTTGCGCGGCAACCGCGCTCCAATGAATTCTTATCTACAACGGTTCAATCTGCAGCTTTGCGTCCTTGATGATCGATATCAAGTCGACAGGTTTGTGTGATCCCGCATATTCTGTACATATGGGTCCAACTAACAGCACATCTGAGTTCTAAGGCAATTAGGCCCTCCAACCCCTTCTGGCACATCCCAAAATCCGCCCGCACCAAAGGTGCTGAGTGGGATAGTTTGTTGGGGCGCGAACACTGGGTTCCTAGAGCGTTGGGGGGGGCCGTTATCAGTGAACGGAAATGCATATCCTGCATCATGAAGTGTGTCCGGACGGGAAGTGGTCGTGGAAGAAAATGAACGGTTCGGCAACATTTGATGTGGAGGCGGTGTGCCATGCAAAAGGACATGAAGTGGTATGCGGTATGCTCGCAATGACAAATTATGATGAAAAATCGCTAGTATGCCCTTCATGAACCTGGTCCTGGTCATCCCCAGGATATCACGCAAATTGTACAGTTTTTTGTAGTGACTAAATTTTTTGGGACATCATTGAAATTGTGCATTTTCAGGGGGTCCATCGGTCCATCCTTCAACCAATGCCTGCAAATTTCTTATTTCCCATATACTGTGAAGTCTAACTGCGCCGCACTATGGAAGACGCGTGCCATTGCAAAAGGCATGGCCCCACTGCTGTGTTGGCGCTAGTCTAGGTAGTCTTTTGCGCCTGCAGCGGAAGCGCAGCTCGATCTGCAGGCCCCGTGACGCAGCGCAGGACACACAAAGCTTTTCACCACTATCGGATGCTTTTGCTTCATGAATGCGATGCAGAGCAATTGGAGTAGGCTCTGTAGAACTGTTTCTATTACATGTCATGAACTTGCATCACATGTCACGCAACCACCGGACGCAATGGCGGCAGAAGTACCTTAAGCGCAGGTGTTGAGATTGCAGGCAGCGTGGCTGCAGAACCACAAGGCGCTGATATGGACTGAGCTCTCTGCATAGCTTGCGTGTTACTGTTGAGCACTATCAAGGATCCACATGCAGTTGGATACCCTACTATAGTAATGTTGTTGAGGACCCCCGCATGTGGAAGACCGGGCAACCCTGGACGACACAGCATCGCAACAAGCTTGCGCTTTCGTAGCAGCAGCTCAAACACCGCAGGGTTTGCGCCAATGCAACGTGTTCATGGTATCGCTCCTGGCTCTGGGGCACTATTGGCAAGTTCTGCAGGCCCTGCATAGGCACAAGCTGGACACTGGCTTGCCACGGCGACGCTCCGCCAACAAGTCTACATGCAGAAATGCCGCAAGGTCCTGCGGCACGCAAAGATCCTGCGACTATGAAGCAGAAGGCTATTCAGACCTCTTCCAATGTTTGCGTGCGTGTGCTTTTTTCAGGCCCGGAATCTGGTCCAACAAGGCTCGCACCCTTTGGCCGGCGGTATGTTTTGTTTTTGGGGGCCTGGCGGATAGTGCGCTTTTTAGTTCTTCAGTACAGCCGCAAGGGGCCGGTCCTTTTCAACCCAGATGAAACCACAGTGTCGGTACACCATGGAACCTAGCGCTGAAGCAGAAGTGCGAAGAGCTTGGACATATCAGCGTGATATGTAATGTGGCAGATATCCAAGGGAGGCTTTGCGCCCACGCCCGCAGCAGGCATTGCTGCAATGGGCACCAGCTGCAAACGAGCTTGAAGTCTTTGAAGCCATCTCCAACGTGCTAAATAAAGCTTTACCAAAAAAAGAAAGGCCACTGCGCAGTTGGATTGCGCGCCTGTGCACTTGCCTCGGCAGGTTATGGTTGCCGCAGAAATTGCAGCTGGCATACCCACGCAGGCGACAGATTTAGAACATGGTTTAGTAGACCAGCGCCGCCTCGCCTTTTCGTGGCACGACCAGGTAGCTCGCAGCATCTCCATAAGGAGCTGCAGCCCTTGATGGACTTTACTGCACAGTTCTCTAGAGGGGAAAAGCCGACTGAAGCTGAGCTTCAGTGCTTTTGACCTCAGCAACGCCGCATGTCGTTCGCGGCACGCGTGCAAAGCATTGCTGACCTCCTTAATTAATTGTTTGGGCTTGCCGGTCGACCTACAATGTAGTCGCAGGTGGGTCAAAAATAATGCCATACTGTACTTCTTTCATTCATTCCACTGCATGGTGCTTGTCATCTCTAGGTCACCATGCATACTGTATAGTTTATTGTAGTTCTGCTCATTCAGTTACGCATCATCTGAGGTGTTGGCTTGGACATGAATTGCCTTTCCACACGCTCGCTCTCTCGAAGCAAACGGTGCTGGTGGTTTTCCTCGCGAAGCGACCTGAATATCTTATCAAATCTTATCAAATGGGATGGGACAACAAATATCAATATTGTCCTATCTACTAGTTTGTACAACGATGGGGATGTCTTCAATCAATCGATGAAACGTGCTGAAAGCTACAGGTTTTCAGTGGGAATCTGTGAAGCTGACGTTTCTTCCATTTGCTTCAGGGACCTTCAATGAACAAGTACCAAAAATATTCTTCCCTACCCTAGAAATGCTTGGAACCTCTATTGCAGGATCTACAGTCTGCACTCTCAAATCCAGAAAAAACCATTCAACCCCAAACCAGGACTTCCAGTCAGGGAAAGTACACCAGAAACTCTAGGCAATCGCAGGTTCAGCTGCACAAACTGTTCAAAGCTATTGTTCAGCCTCTGCTCTGGATGACACAGGTGACAAACCAAAAAGCCGTTTTTCCAGGTATCTCTGCCACCTGGGAGCCCCCAGCATCCTCCAGATCCAGGACTCACCGTCGCTGTGAACGCGCAATTGGTCTCAACAAGTTTGTGTTGAAGTCGTGACACGAAGTTGGGTGCTCCGAAGAATTCAGGTTTGACTCCCAATTGATACAAGAGACACTAGGCTACTAGGCTCCTAGACTCCAGAGTTGGGTGAGTTAGCATGCGGTTGGGGTGTGTATATATATATATGTATCATTGCTCTTGGCAAAAGCAATAACACTGACTTTTCCGTGGATTTGTCGCGTATCTGCCAGTCAGTCTATGCTCCATGTTATTACCCCTGCTAAGCCAGTGAGGCTTGTGATGGTCGGTCGGCAGTCAAAGGGGAGACTGACACTGAGCCGCCTGAGGGGATGCCCATTCAATACACCCAACAAAGACTCACAAAGCTTTGAAGTAAAGGATGTCTCTCAACAGCAGTGCATCTTTCGTTGTTTGTTGAAGGCGGGGCCTCGCTTGCTTTGTTGAACAAAAGGCATCAAGAAAGCCTTCCTTGTATCTTGTTCTGACACATGCAACAATGACAGCATGGTAAACCAGCAGGTGTTGGTGAATGTGTTGAAAGCCAGTAGCAAGTGAGTAGTTGGGGACGGCAGGTATTCCAGCACCGGCGAGCACAATATAATGTTGTCTTACAGGGCTGTCTTACTGCTACTGCGTCTGAGAGGTTATTGGATTGAAGCTTCGGATTAAACCTTTTGAAACAGGCTCATACGGTAAGGACAGAACTCGAGATCAACAACCGCCATCGGTGGATATCCGTGGATGCAGTGGATGCTGGTGTGAAGGTTCTCCAACTGTGAATATGATATAACTAATCTTGTGCCCAGCCAGCTCATCTAAATCGTGGTATACAATGGAACAATAACCAACACCTCACATATATTGAGGTAACGGCCACCGGCCACCTACCCCTTCTGTTCCCACCTCAATTGGCACAGAAAATACCATGCAGGTTCCCCACCCAAAACCGGCGCCTTTTTTGTGCACCCGCCAACGGCCCCTTCTTGGAGCAAAAGCCAAGCTCAAACGAGGCGAAGCGGCGAAGCTGGCTCCGAGGCTTGGTCATTGGCCGCGGCTCTGCTTGCAGCAACAAATGAGCTGAATGAAACAAGCCAGCATTGCTTGTAGCAAGGCCCTAAGGCACCCGTTCAAGCGGGTGCTTATAATATAAGAGGTTCACAGGTGCCTTTAGGGGGGTTCCTAGCTTGAGACAAACACGAGGAAATTATGAACCTGTGATCAAATAAATCTTGTCTCAGCCACGTCAGACTTTGTGATGGATCGCTATCCAGCAAACTTTGCAGCAAACTCTCATGACTCAAAGCTTCCGCAAACTTCCGCAAACTTCCACGGACTCACCTGGAACGCAGCAAAATCAAACCATCGTATGGGTTTGTGTCGGAACGGAGACACGCAAACCTTTAAAGAAGCAAAAAAAGACCACCAAACGCTGCACTACGTCTCCGCAGGCTTATCCTCTGATATCATAATTGAATGGAACACATGGACAACTTATTTTCTCAGGGCTACACTGTCAAGTGTGTGTGTATATATACACACTTAATATATACTTAATATATGTTGATGTTGCTGTACATTGTGTTTGTTCGTGTTTGTTCTCTGAAGGCTGTTGATGCATTGGGAGATAGCAACTCAGCAAGCGCCACTGTTAGGCCAATTCGGGAGCCCATGGCGAAGGCATGGCCACACGCATTAAAATCACGTTGACGTGTAGCGAGGGCAGAGCCACTTTGTAGTGATGGAAGCAAGGTGGTGTGATTTACAGGGTACTTCACTGCAGGTTGCAACCGAGATATGTACGAACTCTTCAAAGTGCCCAATGGTTTTGTGATACTACAGTAACACTGCATTGAATGTATAAGCCACTCAATGTGTGGACACAGCGATATAGTGTATGCTTCCTTAGTCAGACTTGAGGCCAAAGGGTTTCTTCATAGTGATTTCAGAGTGTACAACACTCTCTTGATCTCTCTTGGGTGATTTTAATGGGTCCTACTTGTTGATGTGCCATCAACTCTGAAATGAAGGCACAAATACTCAAAATGTCCAAAGAGTATAATCTGAAATCATCCGACAAAGCTGGTGGAACCTGCTTCTATCATCTGCGTGTCGGACTCTGGTATAGATACAGTCATATGACATACATGTAAATGAAGAAACCCTTTGGCACTGGGTTGGTGGAAGACCTATGCAGTGATGTACATGATATTTGTGCGTATGTGTGCACTTGACAAGTGCCCTCTTGGATAAGAACAAGGCTCGGCCAGCAAATAAATCTCTAATCTTTTGCGGATCCTTTGCCGCAGAATCTGATGGCGCTTACGAGAATCAATTCAAACTAAGAACGAAAGGAACTGAGCCGCTTGGACTTAGCTAAAGCTGACACGTGAGCTGCATCGACTTAGAACCAGCATACAGCATAATTAACAATACCACTCGTTACCACTCAACTGATTTGCCACTGCAATAGTCTAGTTCCAAACGATTGCATGGTCAACTTTTTCCAGTTTAACCCCAGTGGGGCATGGAGGCTTCACCAGTCGACACCACGGCACTCAATTCGCGACCCAGTGGTTCGATCATAAATCTATATGCATAAGATTGATTAAGTAATTATGTTTCACCAAATGTCTATGTTCGCTCATTATGACAATTTTTGTCCACTTATGACCTCTACATACAGTCTCACTCAATTGAGTAAGGTTCCTTCCTTACTGCCTGGGCTACTGCCTGGGCTACTCGGCGAACGCGACTCGCGTCACAGCGTCTTTGGCGGTCGCAGGAAGCCCAAGGCGAGCTCGAAACCTGCGTGACGTGGGTAGAAGCTACGAACGGGGCACTCCTGGCATGACTGCTAGGAACAAGAAGCTAGGAACGTAACAAGGGCATGGGCTACTAGGAGCAAGAAGCTACTAGTAGGTCGGTGTTCCTTTTTTCCCTGGGTAACGGCGGTCTTTTCGAAGGCCTTGATGTGGTTGTGATGTGGTGGTCATGCGGTGTTGCTCTGAGCATCTTGTTTTGGGTATGTGGCTTCACCACCGTTTTAGGTGGAAAAAGTATGGGAAACGCTGCGACCTTCGGAAGTGTAACCAAGGCCTTGGTAGAAGTGTCCATCCTGACCGCTCCAGTACATCCCTTCCCGTGCCAGTACCGACCCTCACATCTTTGGACTCTGACGTCCGGGCCACCGGTCTACTATAAGTCAGCAGTCCTAGACGCAACGCCTCTGAGGCCATGCAAGAAACCAACTTATCCCCACCCCTACAGCCCATGGCAGGCATTTCAACTCATCTGCCACCCATCTGCCACTAACCTTGACTGGGATTGCTATGGATTGCTCTACCCCGTTTGAAAGGTCCTAAAGGCCGCATGGCGAAATCTTTCCAGTCTCCAACCCCGTAGCGGTGGGTCCCCGCACAGGATTGCAACTCGACATCGTCCTTGTGCGCCTGCGCTCGACATCGTCCTTCTGAAGAAGTCCGGGGAACATGTGGTGCTTGCCTTTATTATCTTTTATTGATTGTTGTTGCTTTTTAACATTTGGTTATGCTGTTTTAGTAAATGTTGTGTGTCTCTTTTTTGAGGATGATTCTTCCCTGCACATGAACATGACTCCCAAAAAAACTGCTCCCGCAAGATTCTGGAACATGATTTTCCAGTTGCTCCAGCCTGGACTGCGGCTGCGAGTTCCGCGTTCACGGGCCCCCGTTGCATCTCCTGGAGGGAGAAGGATGTGAAGATGGGTCTCTCAAGAGGGGATATCCAATAAGAGGCACGGAATGTTAAGGCAAACCTGTATAGATGCGATAAATGTAATTATCTATGAAACATCCTATCTAACACTAGGCCTACTACAGGCATTACACTGTCAAGTTTAGGCCCAATGTTGAGACCTTCCGCATGCTTTTGCATCATCTTACATGTCATGTCCAAATGTTCATCTTTACTGTGGAGCGTCGCATCCCGGAACAGATTCCTTCAACAAGTCCATCCTGTTTGTTGACCCCTGCGACCCATCGGATGCTCGATTTCGATGGATTTCGATGGACAAAAACACTAGGACCATTCATTGGGATCCATATGGATCCATTGGGTTTAAACTGAAGGATCTCCAAACACTCATTTGGATGGTCAATGGCCCACCGCACGACAAGTCGGGCACAAAAAGTGTGGAGTGCTTTGTTATTTCCTCCACTTGGGATGACCTGGGGATGTCATCCTGTCAGCATGCCGAATCAGCTGTGAGCCGAACGAGCCGTTGTGAGCCTCCAATTCCGTTAACTGTTTTCGTTTCTCCCACTGCCCTGGCCTCACACATGGGTGCATTCCGTCGCACCAATTCGGCGACCTGAACACGGCGAAAGAGGCGGCTGAAAAGAACACGGCGAACGGCGACGCAGGGGCGCGACGAAGCGCCGTTCCACGCCGAGATTTTCGTCCGAAGGCCACGAATCGAAGGCCGCGAAGCAAGGTGATACCGCGACTGTCCTGGTTCATGCAAAACACGGTGTCCACGCTTGTTGTGCCAAGCGTGTAAAGTATGAAAACTCATGTACAGCTCTCTTTATATTCGGTCGACTGCGGTCCATCCAGGGTAGGCGCACCAGCCTTCGATCAGTCTCAGCTCTAAGAGATAGAGACTGGCCAGACTTAGAGTGAAGAGATGGGTGTTCGCTTTACGAGGCCAGTACCTTTTGCGACACCTAATGCCTAGAGATGCCTAGAATCCCTTTGGGTATAAAGATCAATAGAGGTCGGTTGTTTTCGACCTCCGAAAGTTGTGAGATTAAGTGTACATCATATACGAGTATTAGGCGAAAGTCTAAAGATCTTTGATCCCCACCCCTTCCGGATCCTTCCGCCACCGTCGACCCGCCCAGTCCACCGCCGTGGACCCTTCCACCGCGGCCCCGCTCCCGTCTCTTTCCAGTCCGGCGTACCACGTCGGCACAGGCACGAACCAGGGAGGACTTTGCTCCTTGGCCGGGGCGAGCTGCTGGGAACCGAGCTGGAGTCCAGCTGATGGGAGTCTGCCTCCCATCTTCCAGAAGGTTCCACAAAGCACCCCCGATTTGGGGTGAGACTTAAGGAAACAAACCCGATCTCCTTCTGCAACCAATTGCAATAATGGATATTATTAGTATCAATATAAGTATAGGGCCATAGAGCACGCCGATTTGAGGGAGTCTCGTTTTAAAATTCTTTAAAGCACATGCTTCATCGCAAATGATACGAAAGGCATCATGCTTTAAAGGTACCAATTTCTTGTCCGGACCCATCTCGTTCTGCAGGGAACTCGAGATCGCGCCATCTGGCGTCTTGCTTCATAACTGCCAACTCCGCACTACACTCTCATGCACATGAGCGACTGTTTGCTGCTTGGAACCATGATCCAAACCAAAACGAGTTGGGCCTCGAGGCCGGGCCGAGCGGGCCCGAGCGGCGCGCGGCGGTGTCCTTCGGCTCATGGACCGGTCGACACATCCGGTCAACCGACGCCGGTCTGGAATTGGAGCGTATCCAACTGGTCCCCCTTGGCAAACCCCAATGGGGTTGGTGAGATGGGAGATCCGATGTGGAAGATGTGGAACGAAGAACGAGGGTGACACACTGGGGAATGAGTGCTCTGACCACAGGTGGGTTGCCAGCAACCCGAGCTAAAGTCACACACCAGTTGTTACATGATGTTACATGCTTTTACCCATCATAGGCCCGAAGCAGCCGAAGTAGAGAGTCACCCCCGCGAGTGGTCCAGGGCCCCCCCGCCCCATCTTTGTAAGCATCGCACCAGGATTTCTTCTGGACCACTAATGTAGACCAAAGCGATCAAGTTGTGCTGCAACACCTGCAGGCTCTTGTCGTTGCGTGTCGTTGCAGCGCCATGGGAAGACGCTTCAGTTGTCGCCGACGCCATTTCTCTCGTTGGAGGCGCCATGGTAAGTTTCCAAATATAGCTTCGATCCCTGGAATGGTTGGAGACGCATGGTCTGACATTATAGAAGCTTGCACAAGATTGCAGGTACATGCGATGTGATGGCACAATACATACATATATATATATATATATTGAATCCGTATACATGTCTCAAGCAACATCACATCATGTTCAAAACGTACGCAGTTTATGGATGGTCTTTGGCCCTTAGCCACATGCACATTCGATGAATGCAAACCCACTGAAACATCCAGAGTCATACATGAGTCATACAGGATAGACAGAACCGCCAGCTGCGTTTGTATTCCCTGGAAGTTCTGCCATACTTCCAGGTCAGCACGAACCCTGACAAATATTGAACACATGGTTGTCACAGCATGCACAAACAGGTCAAGCAACAGCGCATGGTGGGAAGTTGATGTTTTGAATGTGTGGTCTTCACATGTCTTCACCAGGACAACCGTTTTCCTGTCTTCCTTGTAACCTGCACCTGCAACAATAGTTTTAGGAGGTGGCAAGCGGAGACTCATGGCCTGTGGCCGTGCCATCAATTACACGAATCAAAGCCCCCACTGGATGGGACCTCAAAGGGGGAAGCCCTGCTTCGACGAAACATCCAATGCAGGCCTGCTTGGTCGAAGATAGTCGAATCCAAGGATCCCAACACCCAGAATCCAAGGAACATGATCGCATGCTTGGCATGCTTGGTGCTCAAAGTGGGATGAATCCCGACTCATAGACTCCAAAGCCACGAGACGCACCCTGAGACCCACTTAGCAAGGATTCTGAATGATGAGATCATATCATATGATAATATCATAGGATATCATATGATATGATCTCAGATGGGATATTCTTAGAATGATTCGGATCTCATAGGTTTTGGGAATATGTGCGCCTTTGATCAACGCTTCTCATCGAAGAAAAAGCATCGCGCCAGCACGCGCCTCAACTTCTTCGGCCAGCCGTTCAGGATCATCCTGCAGTCAGATCCAATCATGGTAAATGTTCCAAAGAAGTCGTGAACAAATGGATAGAAATGGTTTAAAGACAGGACAGAAATGGATAGAAGGACACCATTTCATCTATATTACTTGAAAAGGATAGAACATGCTGTAATGAGACAAAATATCTCTGGTCCCTCTGGTGCTCTCTGAAGTACTGTTTCATACTGTTTCCAAGCCGCTATCCATCTGTGAACAGAAGGGCATCAACATATCAATATTCAGCATCTTGCGATATGAGCCTTGGCAAATGGCTATGCGGTATGCGCTATGCTAGACGGCTCGCAGCAGCTTGGTCGACTCAGACTCGCCACATGTGGTCTTCTCATCTCGACTCATTGAGCCATCAACTCTTAAGGCATCCCTGTTTCCCGCTGCTTTGCAGCGGACGGACGTCGAATTGGGAATTCTTGGTTACCCCGTCGCAGCTTCTTCTTCTTCTTCTTCTTCTTCTTCTTCTTCGAGTCCAAGCTCTTTGGATTGTTTTCGATTGCTTCGAAGCCCATATAGGGATCCACGGGATCCACATACCTTCTCACAAGGTACTACATCAAAGACTCACCTTCTAAGAGGGCGATCCACAGGGTATGATGTTGTTGTCTCGCCCACGCTCACTCCCTGTTTGAGGTCACCTCCTTATTACACGGCACGGGTCGCAGGCCTTGTGATCTCCGTCAAAAGGCTTGTGATTCTGCGATGCCCTGATGGTTTTTTTATACCGGCTTCCGCTTGGCTTTGCCCCACCTGAAAAGAATAACCTTCATATCGATACCTTTATCATTGCTTTGCCCAAACTTTCCGTGTCGGTCTCCCCCAAACAAGGAACCCACCCTTTCTCGCCTGCAATCGGTCCACGGCCGCCTCCAGGGCTTGTGCCAATGGCACCTGGGCCGAGGACGGGTTTGTGCACAAGCCGCGGGTCGGTGTGGGTGAGCCTTGCATGGCTTCATCCCTCCTCGCATGGCTTCTTTGCGCTCGAGGACCGAAAGGGAACCTCGGCATCGGAGGCCTGGTGCCGAGATGTGCCGAGATGTGCCGAGTGCATCGGTCGGTTTTGGGCGGTCGGTGTGCAGCGACCTTGTGTGTGTCACATCGTTTTGTCTTTTGTTTTTCTGGGAAAAGGAGGACTCAAAGGACTTTGTTTTTCGAAATTGCTGATTGGTGCCACTCCGACCAAACACATCCGTTAGAAGATAGTAACTGAATCGTGCAGGAAACATGTCCCACCCCAACCATTCACACATAAAAAGCAACATAAACCCTTAGCTAACAAGTTCCCCCCATGGAACACACAAATGATTAATCATAGAATTAAAGCATATTCAACAAAAAACCGTCCATTCCGTTCAGGGGGATCACGCTTGAATTTCCCCAAAGAATTCCCTGCCACTGCACTTGGGCCTTGCAGTCTCCTAAATGAAGACGGAAGTCCGGGCAGGTGATGCAAACCTGGGACGGCGACGTCGGAGCCACCGGAACGGGGCGGTGTTTCTCGCCAAATTCAGGGTGGAGTGGCAGGGTGGGAGTGGATGCGTTCATGTTATTTCTCCAAAAAGAATCTCAGCTGCTTGGATTCGCATGTCGGATTTGTGTGAATTCTCCAAATGTTCATCTTCATGGACTAGGAAACTCAACATGCTATCATGATGGAGAGTGGTAGTCTTTGGGTGGATTCCACTTGTTGGTTCCAGTGTGGAACCATGGAGTCCGAAATCCCAGCGTAACGTCAGCAAGCAACACTTTGGACACAACATGTTTGACAATAATGATTTATAGAAGTCAAAGAACAGTTTTGTTTCATGTACGATTTGTTCCATGTCTGTCCCAGTGTTATGTTCTTCTAGACATCTGTCGTCGCAACACTTCAAAACGTGAAGCCTGGGGGACGTCCGTGCGCTGACTCGGCTGTGGCGACGTCCGACGTGCGCCATGGAGGAGCTGTCGCTTCGCAACGAGGCGAACGAGGCGGTCGGGAGTCTTCCGCTGAAGTGGGACAAAAGTCCCTAGCATCCTGAAATTCAAAAATAAGTTTGGTGATCCTTTGGTCAAACAGACGACAAAGGGTCAAGAGTCTTCTCAAAGTAACTTCGACTTGCACTGTAAGAGCAAATGAACAAAAAGGAAACTACAATGTGACTCTACAGAATGAACATCCCTTGGCTCTGTAGTCCATTTGATCAGAACCCAGTTTCGAGAGGATTTCTGTCCAGCGACCGCAGCAATGAGTTTCACCGCCTCCTCCCGCAGGTAGGACGCCTGAACAAACCAACCCATCGACCCAGGTGGCGATCAGCTGACCAAAGAGGTGAGTCATCTGACGGAATTGTTGTGTTTATTGCAAACATCTTTCTGAGTTTGAAGAACCAATACGAGTACCAGAACCCGTGACCCGGTGCTCCAAATCGATGGACATCGATCATATGTCCGTCGAACCGAAACAACAATGAACACTGCACGTGGAGGGCTTCTCTTCACGGCCTTTGCCCTCATCTGTTTTGAACATAGACTGGACGGGTTCGTCCCTGCCTCATCCCGATAGTTGCTCCGATGCTCCTGGCCCTGGGCAATGCTCAAGGCCTGTGGAGATGAAGGGGTCAAAGTGCAGCGGTTTCCGTGCCGTTGGTAAAAACATCTTTTTGCACTTCTGAGCGCCAGCTGGCGTAGCATTCTAGCTGGTAGAGGCCATCAAAAATGGTCTGAGGAAAGTGTCAATAATATTCGATAAGAACCGGTTGACCGCTTCGACTGCTTGGACCACTCCGGATTAAGTTCAGAGCCGGCTTCGGGTCGTGTCATACCTGGGTCTTCCAACAAATATGCACATGTTTTTGCCTTTTGGCTGGCTTTGTAAGCGATATCGTATAAATAAACACAACAGCGTCATGTTCCCAATCTGGTTGGAGCATGCAGCTGTTGCTGTGCTTCGTTGGTCTGGGTACTGTTGGAGTGGATCGATTGCTGGGCGAACCTGGAACACTCCGCCCCCGCACTACCCTACAGGTCAGTTGGATCTTCTTTTACCGGAGTTGATCATACAAATACTCAACGAGGTAAAGGAATCAAGGATAAGGCCCTTCTGGTTTGCCAGGCCTTGGGCTGCGAGCCCACTCCAAGACCTGAGAAACAAGATCCTCAGCCTTCGGGAAGATGGATGGCTGGTCGGACACAAAAGCGAACACCGGCTTGTCGGGAACCATGAGCCTCATAAGATCGGCAACCTGAGCTGTGAAGTACCTAAAGAGCCACCTCGGTGCCAGAAAGCTCCAAGCTGCCATTTCGATCTTGTGCACACCAGGCACCATTATAGCGGTAGAAGCCCCCAACATAGCATGAGCTGAGGTCTCTGACATGCCCAATCGAATCTCCTCCTCGGAGATCACGCCCAAAGGGATTGCACCGATCAAACCTCCTGCCCTTTTGAGAACCACCAAGAACATCGTCTCGAAGGAAGTGCCAGGGTGTAGATCGGTGGGCCATGCAATGACATACGGGATCAGCTGATCGAAAGACATGAATCCCTCCTCCTCTTCCATCTCGATTGCTTCCTCGGCAAGCTCCGCCATCACGGCTGGATCTGCAGGGTAAGCGACGTCTGCCTGACAATACACATGAGCCTCCGCCTGTGATGGAAACGAATGGGACAAGGTCTCCCCCTCAGTGAAGTTCCTCCTGAGTCCACTGGAAGACCAGAATCAGAAGGCACAGGAGGGAAAGAGTTCTCAATCTCCCGGCGGGTTTCCAAAGGGCTCGTAGAAGGCCTCCCCACAGAAGTAGAAGGAGCCGGCACGGCAGAAGCCAGAGAGAAATGATCGGAAGGAGCCGGCGATGGATCACGAGGAGCAGATTGGAAGCGATGATGCCAAGAGGTAACCGCCTGAACGGCGGCAAGAGCAAGGATAAAGGTCTGGAGACCACAAGGCGAAGAGGACCAACTCGAACAGAAAGCCCAGTGTTCTCGTCGTCGGAGGCCCCGCTCATACAAATAGAGGTGAAGCCTTTCGGCAGCCGGGCCTGAAGCGGCCGGAGGAGGATTCCTGACCAGGCGATGGTCAGGAACAAGTGGAGGAATCAAGCCCAAGTAGGAGGCAAGGCTGAGGGTCCCCAGAAGCCACCCCACCAAGAAGATCAGCAAGAAAGAGCTGGTGGAGAAGTGGTGGCAGTGGACAGGGCAACCCAATCCCCAAAAATTAGTCTGCAGCCCCTGAGAAAGGACCGAGATCCACTTTATGGCTTGATCCATCCAGCTGAGCCGGCTCACGTGTTGCTCGGCACTAAAGTCAATAATCTATTCTTTTGGGCCTGGCTCCATGTTTTTTCATCTGCAACTCCCTAGGGAGTTTGCAAATGAAGGCAGGCCTGAGAGGCAAACATGTTTGAGCACCATGATGCTTTTGTTAATCTTTTGTTCAAACGATCCACCTAAATGAGGGAGATGGGAGAACAATGTGGCAACACGTACAAGTAGATCACCACTCTGCTTAAGAGTTCATTCATGTGCATTCCATCATTCGATCAATATATGAGTGGATGATAGTGGATGGACTTGCATGCTGGGTCCATCATCGAATCTAGCGCGTCAAGCATCTGAAGCCTTCCAACCCCCTGATTGTTGGTAAAAAGCAAAAGAATGACGTAACATGACTAACGCCTGAATCCAAGATGTTTTCATGGGTTTGTGGACTCGTTTCATTTGGACTGGACTTGGATGGAGGTTCATGAACGGAAGGTGGCTTTCAACGCTGAAGTGATATGAGACAAACAAATACAGCCATTTGGGTATGGCTCAAGCAAAAGAAAGACCCTAACAGGAAGCCACACTCACTTCATTGATTTTTGTGGTGTTTGAGGTAAACGCAAATCTCGACCGGTTCCCACCGCCTGACTTTTAGGTGTCACCTCTCCACGAGTGTCGGTCGGCCTTGGCAGCCCCTTGCAAACAGGACAGCAGCTGTTCCTGGCGGCGAAAAAAAGATGAAAACCTTCGACCTGCACTTTGCGAGCTCCAACAGGCTCCGAGCAAATCAAAGACTCGAATTTGGTGCTCAAAAGAGCTCTCCAGAATATTCCCCACTCCGTTAAGGATGCAAATCTGCACAATGAGAATCAGTGCGCTTTGTTCATCACCCCGAAACAAGTACGGCTTCTATCTGTGTTAAGAAATATTCTCAAACAAGAAAGTAGACTCTATTTTTCGGAAAATAAGTTATTTCTAGACTCTATTTTTGTCAAAAAACACGTTTTTTTAAATACGTATATATTAAGTTCTAATTTGAAGGGCCCTGCCACAAAGAGAAAGAAAGAGAGAGAGAAAGAGAAAGAGAAAGAGCGCGCCCCCTTAATGACAAACTTGACATCATCTATGACCCCTTTCCATGATACGTACGTAGAGCAAAAGCTTCAGTTTGCTTAAGTCTGTTTCAAACTGTCCTCTCGGGTGGTCTGAAACTGGTCTGAAA